GATATTGAGGCTGATAGTGATAGCTAGACAACCCCCCAGGAATAAGATGAGCTCAATTTTGGGATAAGCACCTCATCCAGATCCACCATGACTTCAGAGTATGACCATTCTATCCATGGATATAATAATACATCGTACAATATATGTACAGAGTACATAGTATGACAACCACGGTTTCCCTATCGGGTATGTTCAAGTTTATTGGTGATTAAGGACCCTGCTAATTATATGATGTAGGAAGATCTAACCCTTGGAAGAATACTCCTAATGATCGGATTTATTTATCATCAACTGGGTTGGTCAGCGTCAATTACCAACATCTGGGGAGTTAACCTTTTCCAAGGTTGATATCAATAAGCTACGACCTACATAATCACATTCTACGCCATTCCGTCCAAGAATGGGCAGAATCGACTTCGATATTCTGCCGGTCTGACCCTACAACGCTCTATCATGATTCCACCGCCTTCTAGAAATGACATTCTGTCCGCGTTTAGAAGGCGGTGAGACGAAAGAACTTGAGCACGCAATCGCCAACGATGGCGTGCTTGGGTAGTTTTCATTCCCCACTCTGGCAACTGACCAATTGAATCATTGCCTCGTCGAAATGAAGAATATCGGAGGAAGAGTATGCGAGGGACGGATCTCCGGATGATGTGATTGCCTCTACTGTTCTTATATTCTCGCCCCGATTGTCCTCTGGGACTTTGTTCTTCATATTCCCCCTCTTCAGTTCTCTTTATACATCCAATCCAATACGCCAATACTCCAATACTCTAATATCTTCTCTGTGAAGGTTATCTCTGTGCCATCCTTACACTATGCCGGCCAAGATGCCCAACAAATACTCCTCAGAGATGGAGGGTATTGACAACCATGATGCTATGACCGAGTCAGGCTATGTCAGTGCTGGCTCTGGCTCTAGTGAGGAATATGTCCCCGAGATTGTTTTTACCAAGCCCCATCTCCAGTTCCTCAACCGCCAGTTGCAATTCCTTGAGCCCCAAGGTTCGTACTGAATCCCATATTCATAATGACCCCTCTTTCCGAAGACACTTTATCTGACTCCTTCTTACAGAGATCTTGAAATGGTGCATTACTTCGCTTCCTCATCTCTTCCAGACCACTGCCTTTGGTCTCACAGGTCTTGTCACCTTGGACATGCTGTCGAAGCTGGAGGTGCCTCGTCCCCAGATGGTTGATCTCGTCTTCCTCGATACTCTGTACCACTTCAATGAGACCATGTCCCTGGTTGACCGTGTGCGTCGCAAGTACCCCAACAACAATGTGCACATCTATAAGCCCGCTGGCGTCGACACCACTGCCGAATTCGAAGCCAAGTACGGCACCAAGCTCTGGGAGGTCGACGACCAACTCTACGACTGGGTCGCCAAGGTTGAGCCCGCTCAGCGTGCCTACCGTGAGATGAACGTCCACGCCGTTCTTACTGGCCGCCGCCGCAGCCAAGGTGGCAAGCGTGGTGACCTCGACATCATCGAAGTCGACGAGGCCGGCCTCATTAAGATCAACCCCATGGCCAACTGGTCCTTTGACCAGGTCAAGCAGTACGTTAAGGAGAACGATGTGCCCTACAACGAGCTCCTCGACCGTGGCTATAAGAGCATTGGTGACTGGCACTCTACCCAGCCCGTTGCTGAGGGAGAGGACGAGCGATCTGGTCGCTGGAAGGGACAGCAGAAGACTGAGTGTGGTATTCACAACCCTCGATCCAAGTACGCCCAGTACTTGATGGAGATGGAGCTCAAGCGTCAAGAGGAGGCTCTCACACAGGCTTTGCACACCCAGTTGACGCCTGTTGTCTGATCTTTCCTTTTGACTCCTTCCATTACTCCTTCTACTGCATACCCCTCGGCGTTTCTACTGTGATACCTCTCTGTTTTTCCCTCTGTTTTTCAAGCGGTTTCTTTTACCCAAGAAACGGTACAAAAAGTACTCTTCGCATTTCCATCCTCCCTGCCCAGGGGAGTCGAGTTTAGTTCTCAGGCTCACTAAAGCAATTGTTTGAGACATGATAATGATATCCATGTGATAAAATGAAATACAAAATTCATATCCTTAAAATACACTCCATTTCCATACATGTAAATCTGTTGCAATAGCTCCAAAATCCTTTTTGGTCCTTTGATTTGTGTTGAGGGACAGTCACGTGTGGGGCCAACCCTAGTTTTCTCTCGATCCTCAGGCACCACTGTATCACCGGTGATTTAGCAGATACCTAAATAATGATTGAATAGTATTTCATCTTTCAAACATCTAGGCCAGTTACATGACGACAGAAAGTAGAAAATATGTCACTAAAACATGTCACTGACACCATCATATCTAATGACATTATGCGGCCCTTTATTTCACAGAGCAGAATGATAAAGAGAGCGGCTCACACGATATGTTATGACAACGTTGAAGGCGAGTCTTCAGGATCAGCACTTTTGACGGCATGCTTCGCAGGCTGGCCAGATGTTGTCACGCTACTATTGAATAAAGGAGCCAACTACAACGCTCCACACACACACACACACACACACACGCACACACACGGCACGGCTCTCCATGCAGCTCTGCAAGAGGAAAAGAAATTCTAGGACTCGGATGGCCACTATACACACGCGGGCATGGCGCTCGATGCGGCAACCGAACGAGACCATACGGAGATTATGGAAATGCTAGCTAAGGCAGATGCCCAAGTTTGATTTAGTACTTGAATCAACAGTTCCGATCCAAAATAATGCATGGTTAATTTATAGTAATAGCATGAGACTATTCCTATTCCTCAAGTGCCGCGTTTATCCTTTCTAAGGCCACCCTCAAATAGTCATGGCCCTGAGTAAACACGATTCGGAACCAGCCATCCTTCTCCGATCCGAAAAGAAAGCCGCTGGCCAAAAAGACCTTCTTTTGTAGAAGACGTTGCATGACCCGTTCCCCGACATCCTCGCCCTCATCCTCCGGGTGAAGCTCGCGGTATTTCTTTCCCAAGTTCATCCAGACGAAGAATGCCGCATTACACCCTGTTGCATATTCAATTCCGTGGTCTTTCAGGTAGTTCGCGGTGTATGCATAGGATTCCGAGAGCAGCTTCTGATTTTGCTGAATATACCGGGTGGTGAATTCGAAGTCTTCAAGCATGAGAGAAGTCAAGTGATCCGTGATCCCAGAAGCATAAGAATAAAGCGCTGGGCCTGTCAACGCCGCATGTACATCTCGGTTGGCCTGGGAAATGATGGCACCGAGTCGGATACCGTTTGCACCAAAGTCTTTGCTCATACCCCAAAGGACATGAACCAACCGAGGGTCGATAATTCCAGTCAGATCGATAGAGAGGGCGGATTCGAATTTGACAGGCGGTGGAGATTCATCGACTGTATTTTCAAAGACAGAAAGCGCATAGATTTCATCACTGATGAAATGGACCTGGTATTTCTGACAGAGACGCATCAACTTAATGAGCACTTCCCTGGAATAGCACCGTCCGAGCGGATTGTGAGGATGGGCTATAATCAAAGCCTTGACTTTCTTTCCCGTTGTTCGATGGAACTCCAGCAACGCTTCTTCGTACTTATCCACGCCGTCGAGGCCGACAGGATCATGTTCTCCGAAACTAACAGGAACCACGGGACTCCTCGAACGCAGCGAGATATCGGGAATGAACATGCCGTAGTACGGTCTTCCTAGCAGGATTCCCTCGCCGGGATCGGCGAATGTCCACACAACATGCTCGACCGCAGACGAGACGCCGTTAGTCGCCATGACATGACTGGACTCGAGAGGCGTGACTGGTTTCAGGTTGTGGTTCAAGAACGCAGCGATGGCGGCTTTCAATCTGAAAGAGCCGCCTCCGCCGTCATTGTATGTGAGGTACTTTGCTGGTAGCTCGAGCTTTTTGTTGATGAATTTTAAGAGCTCGGAGTGCATCAGGGTGTTCTCTGCTACGCCCACGTTGACATATCCGTTGGGGTTTGTGGATGGATCCCACGGGTCCTTCATCACATCCCACATTGGGTTCTCGGATCCTGCGTCGACGACATCTTGTGCCCGGCGGGAGAGAACTGATTGAGTCATTTTGGAGGTTGTCTCGGAAGAGTTTTCACAGGGTTGAAAACAAGGCCGAGTGAATGAGTGTAGAGGATGAGTCAAAAGTAATCAGTAAATTTAGGTTCTTTAGATATCCATAGGGTCGGTTACTATCGGAAATGGTAAGTTTGCATTTCTCCATGTGGAGAGCTGATTGATATGGAATGTCATAACCGACGGGTCGTATACGTATACGAGGTGGGTCCTATTCTACCAACAGACGATTCACCACCATTTCATAGAGAACTCATAGAGAACTCATGGAGAACCCGTTTTCCGGGGTGCCCCGGAGTGAGTTCCACTTATGCATATACACCGGAGTGACCGGACCGCTTTCCCTTTTTCAGTGCTCGCCTGGTCGTTACCTAACTAGTTACCTAACTACTTAGGTAGGCAGGTACCTAGGCTAGTGTTACGTAATCATCCAACTCCCAGTGAGATCTCTATGACTTAGAATTTGATGTTTAAGCAGTAACTAAAATACTCAAAATTACTGGGAAATTCTCCAATACTTATGCAGCTGCGACGAATCGGCATATTTTGTATTGTTTGGTGCCGATTGGGCTCGATTGGGCCTCCATTATGGGCTTTGGGCTTTGCGAAGGTCTAGTTGCGGGAAATATCTATCTAACCCTCAATTTTTGGGTCTACAATAGGACTGTAAATCCAGTTATCCTTTTTCCAAGTCCCCCAAAGCTGATGGAAAGGAGGAAGAGAAAACGAGAGAACGACGGCGTAACTAACTATATGGTTCACGTGTGCCTCAGGCAGTAAAGTCAACCAGATACTGATCCCGATGTCCGTGTAATGATGATAATATTTCAAGAGCTCTGCTACATATATTTTCATTAGCATGACGAGTCGTGAGAATTTCGCACTCCTCCTACATCCTACTAAAAACCTGTGCAATGTCTGAATTCAACGAACGTAACTGTGGCCCGGAAGGGCTACCTTTATCTGTCAGACGGTATACCTATCGAAGAGAAGACTTTACCCAAATCATTGATCTTGAGCGTGAGCGCCTTTACCGTTCAATGAATTCTATTAAAACTACGTCCAATGCAATACGCAATGGTGGAAATTTATATGCTTCAGAGGAGCCTGAAGATATGACTGAATATATCATTTTCTCCATTGATCCGGCTACGCACGCTCGTGACTTCCTAGATCCGGATATCGAACCAATTCGTGGTATCTGCACTACATTCGATCAAACCACTAATTCAATGGTCGTTAAAATGCTACTTCCCGAACACGCACAGCTGTCTTTTGATATCAGTATGGCTATTAGGGAAGCGTTAGGTCCGATGGGGCTAAACAAATCAATCTTCGACTACGGGCACACTACGCTTCCTATAGCCAACGGCTTTAAGGAACCAGATGCGTCGTGGCTCCCAAGAAGGCCACCACGTGGAGGCCCGCGAAGACCAACCGTGGTACTTGAAATATCAATCAGTGAGACGCACGCCAAGTTAGTTCGTGATGCTAGCCAGTGGCTCGACCCAATCCATGGTCTCGCGAAGGTCGTACTAGCTATAAAAGTAGACCGACGGCAGCCTAAGGTTACTATCCAAAGATGGCAGTATGATAGTGCCAGGGCAGCGATCAAAAATGTCCAAACCATCGAGATCATCGGAAGCAGTAAAGGGGACGAAGTCACAATGACCGGTGGTCCACTCATCATTCCCTTTCACCTTTTTTTCCTCAGACCCGCTGAACATCATAGGAGGGAGGGCGATATACTCATTGATGAGCAGGAGCTCAAGGAGATCGCTCAGTTCATCTGGGAAATTCAGTTCTCGGATTGATGTCCTCACTTTGGCTTTGGCTATTTTTATACTTTATCTAGTTGAGTCACAAGATAATATAATCTAGGTATTCAAACATCTTTAACCATCGGTAGGCTTCAATTAATAACTACACAACATTAGTTTTTGTAAAGTGGCGACTAGTAATATGAACCAATGAGAGAGTTATGTGCCGGTGGCATACTTAGTCGCCAGGACTCCCCACATCAAAAGCCGAACACCGAACTACAGAGATAGAGATCCATAAATTTGAATTTGGAGAAAGATAATAAAGGAGAAAGATAATAAAGTGCCTAAAACACACCAAAGTCAACCCTCCTGTAAGAAATGGCCCTAGCCCTCCATACATCAAACCCCGAAACCCAAAAAGCACACCTCATTCATACGAATCATATCAGATAGACCCCCGACGCCGCACAGCTTCAAAGGAAACCTCCACAGCACAATTAAACACGACATCCCGAGGCATCAAATCCACCCCACTGGAATGCCGATACGTAGGCCCCTGCGGATACGCCGAAGGATTCAAAGGCTGAGGTTCAATTTCCTTAAGGTTCACAGCCTCAACCTCATCCAAACCAATAACCGCTGAATACGCCTTCGCCTTCCTAACAGCATCAAGAAAAGCCCCGTCCCGCAACTGCGCCCCGACCCCATAATTCGTAGAATCGGTGAGGTGCCAAGAAACACCATTCAGTCTTGCGTTGTGATACCCATCCAGCTTCTGGACGAATTTGTGCAACTCGACGAAGTCACAGAAGGTGGCGTGGAATGCGATAGTAGCGTAGTGGATGCGGGGGTTATCGCTGACGTCTCCTGTCTCGTTTTCATTGCGGTCCTTGGATGCGAGTGCGAGGTGGGCGTGGCTGACGGAGATATTTGATACTGCGGCTTCGGGTTTTACGGTTCCGTTTTCTTCTCGTAGACATAGGGCTTCTAGGATTTCGCGGAGGCTGTGGTAGGTCGAAGTGACTTCTCGACAGACGGTTTCTGCGGAGTCGCCAGATGATTCGATGATGAGGTGGATCATTGCTCGTTCTGGGAAGTGACGGGCAGTACAGTGGCCTCGTAGAGTCATGGTGAAACGTGTCATGGTTGATGGTTGATGGTTATTTGGTATTTGATTAGGCGTGGAAGAGGATGTGAGGATCAGGATGAAGTAGAATTAAGAATTTGGGGGTTTAAATTGTCTATTGAGGACACCAGACGACCGAGCAAACATTGGGGAACTTTGGGGAGTCTCAAGTGAATGAATGAATATATTCTTCTCAGATATAACTAGAACAAGTTTTTGAATAATATAAAACCACTCAACCAAGGAATTGCTCCTGCTTAGCACCCTCAACAGCAGCAAGGTAAGCAGGACGGTCCTTAACATAGAACTCAACATCAACCTTTCCTTTCAGATTAGCCTCGCCGCCATCGAGGGTTCCAGCCTTAACGCAAGTCACATCGGGCATGATCTCGAGCTCTGTGTAGATACTTGAACCGCAGGTAGAGCAGAAGAAGTGCTTATTGATTTTTCCACTGTTGCCAACTGCATTGTAGGAATTGGGAGTACCTGTTTAGAAAAAACGCGAGGGGTCAGAAACTAAGCAGTTGATTTTGGTGTAAGGTGTAGATTTACCCTTTGTCACTTTTAAGCTGGTGCGGGGAACGACTGCGTTGGAGGTGAATGCACCACCAGACCACTATTCAGCATTAGAGGATGTTCAGGTTCATTGGTATATCAGTATTGTGTTTTACCTTCTGGCAGTCGGTGCAGTGGCACAGGGCGGCCAGATAAGTGTCCACTAGTATGCTGTTAGCTTTTGAAGCATATAGGTTTGGAGCAATTGATATACCTTCAACGGCGTAAGTAACACCGCCGCACATGCAGCTTCCAGTGAAAGTCATTTTGAGTTCAGGATAGATATAGTATGTAGTTATACTAGTATGTATGAAGAAGAACCTTGGTGGAATCAAAGTGCAAAAAGCGGGGTTGGTGTCAGGCCTTTTTATACTTCACATTGCCCCCATCCTTTCGGTATTTGATCTTCGATCGAACACCGAAGTGAGGGGTTTAAGGGTTTACTCCCCAATCTCCCCAATCAGGCAAATACTAAGTTTACTGCTTAATAGTGTGGAAAGGAATAGACATAGGCAGGCAGAAAAAAAGATTGGCATCATTCCTAGAAACAAGAACCTGCTTTATATGTATCATCCAAGAGTCAAAGCAGTTAAACAGACCTAACGCCCAGGTCTCTGCCAAAAACGCGAGATTAGAAAAAATCAAGAGATAAGAAATAAATGAAGGTAAAAAGTTGACACAAGACAGCGCTAGTGTATATCACTTCAAAATCCAAGTAAGAAACGTCATTGAAAAGGAAATAAGACAGAAGGGAAGATGGCGAGAGAAAGGAATGACAATAACCGGGGTATAGAGAGGATACATGGACTGCGAAGCTTGATCGAACTAGAAATAGAGAACATTCAAATGCCCCCAGGCCAAAAAAGAGTTATGGGGTATTGACAAGAAAAGTGAGATTGGATGTCCATACGGACAGGTCTCTTGATCAAAATGCCAGCGCTTTATAGTATGGGGGACAAATTCCCCAAGGGAAGCCAAGCATCATCAGGTTTTCGGCTTTTTATGTGCACCTTCCCCTGCGGATCCACTGTCGGGGCTTTTTCTCTTTTTCTCTTGTTCGTCTTCTCGAGAAAAGCTGGGACCGCTTTGCACTGCCGGAGTCGGGAAGGTGAGGGGACTAGGCAGCATGTTGGAGTCTGGGCCGGACCGGCCAAAGCCCCATTCGGGGAAGAAACTGGAAGGTGACGGGAGGAGGGCATCGGATACAAAGCGACTCGGCAGGGCGGATATGGGTGTTTCGATATTATTCGAGGTATTCCCATTGTTCGGATTTCCACCATTGCTGCCGTAAGAGTCGTTTCGCGCTGCGGCAACGGGAGGGGGCGGTCGGGCGAACGGATTTGGAGGCCCTTGCGCTCCCGCACTCAGTATTGCACCGGCTGATGGCGACGGAGGGGGTAAGACCACGCCTGGGGGACCATTTTCAGCACTCCCTTTCGCAGGTGTGGAGGTTTTATTCCCAGCGGAATCGCGTGATGAGTCGGCCGTGGCACTGTCGCCATCGGAAGTTTCGCTAGGAATCTGCACTTTCAACTGCGGTCGTTTTGATGGCAACGGTCCGCTGTTAGTTCGGGATGGTGGTTTGATTTTTGACGTCGAAGCAATTGGTCCTGGACGAGGAGCCTCCGTCGCAGCTCTGACGGGCATTGATTTGGAACCAAGCGAAGCTTGTGGTAGTGCTTCGACCTTGAGAGAGTTGTTATTGTGAGACTCATAGGGTCCCGCTCCAGCTCCAAAATGGCGGGCGAGCACCGATCCTCGATCATCAATGGGTGTGAAAATACTCCGTGATTTCGATAGCGACTTCATTTGTGGTGGCGACTGGCTGTGCTCTGCTTTCATCGCGGAAGAATCATCTTGGGGGTGCTCCGAGCCAGGCCGTTCTTGGTGACCGTCAGGCGCGAACCCTGGAGGCATCGAATTTCTCCCATGCTCCTGCATGTATGCCTGCTGCACGTGCTGGTGGGGCCCCGGAGGCATTCCTACGGGATGGCCGTGTTGTTGGAAGTGCTGTTGGCCCTGGTGCTGAGGTGGCATTTGCTGGGGCGGTAAACCGTGCGGGTGCATAGGAGGCGTTCCTTGGTGTTGTCCTGGTGGGTGTCCATAGTGCGCAAACTGTCCCGGTCTAGGTTGCTGGTTCATAGGGTGAACATTCGGGTTGTACATGGACGGATTTGGCATATACGTAAATCCTCCATTCTGCGGGCCAGGGGGTGGTGGCGGTGGAGGTGTACCATGTTGCTGGGGGCCAAGATTTGAACTGACTCGGCGGATGTGATTCCTTGAGGAGGGACGCGAACTGGCTTGCGGTTGCGGGGTTCCATGACGTGTCATGGCATGACGGATTGGGGGTGACGCGGAGGGTGCATGATTCATGTGCTGGAAGACGGGCTGATTTTGGAGATGAGGGGGGATGGCGGGGTGGTTCTGTTGAACAGCTTGGATGTCCTCAGGAGCTGGCGAAGCCTCATCTTCCTCATCGTCGTCATCTCGCTTACCCGCGAAATCTTCCGGACCTTTATGCTCGTGGGGGAGGGCCAAACTGAGAAGGAACTACCAGTTAGAGATTTTCGGAATGAATCGAAGAAAGTTCTACCCACATATTGGTAGCGACCAAGAGCATCATGCATGTCGCATGATGAATACTCATACAGCTTTTTGTTGTGGCCAAAAATAATGACAGCTACATCAACGGAGCAAAGGACGGCGAGCTCATGCGCCTTCTTGAACAGACCCCCTTTCGTTTCAGAAAGGTGCTATAGCCGAAGAATCTCCGATTAGCGGCTAGAATACTTCATGTAGGATGGTTCAACATACACTGAGCGGTTGCGGTCATCTTTGATGGCCTTGATCTCAATCTTTCTGCGACCCATGGTGGATAACTACGGGCGCATCAATTGCGCGCCGATAGTGAGATTGGAAATAAAAGGTACAGGAAGCCGCGAAGCGACTTGCGAGATACCTCGCGTGATTATGATTTAATTAGCCAAGATGTAGAATCTGAATCGACACGATGGCGATCCTAGCCACACGGTGGCACACGGGTATATGTGAAGAAAGTTCGTCTCTGCACGACGATAACTGAGGAATGGTATGACTAGTCAACAAAGGGATCCGAAACCAGAAACCAGTGTTGGTTTCAATGTAAGAAACCCCGTAGATAGTTGAGGAGGGGGGCTGGGCGCGACTTTAGAACAATGAAGACCCCCCGGTGTTCAAAGAACAGTGAACCCGAGGAGATAAGAAAGGTTTGAGGGGCGATAAAGGAACCAAAAAAGATGAAGTAAATGGGAGCGGAGAAAGAATGATTGACGATGCAGGAAAGGTTGATTCTAAAGATAGAATTGAAGGGGGAGAGAGAAGAAGATTTACTCGCTGAGTCAGCAGAGCCTTAGGCGCCGGGAATCTATATTTATCTTTTGTCTCAGCATTGAAGGACTTGTTATTTCGTACAAAGTACTAACTTGTACTAATTCCAGTTAGTCTTGTCCCTGCAAGGGCTTGTCACAGTGGAGTCTTCCCCCTCCAGCTCCTATTGGGTTTTAGTTTATTGTTCGGATAGACCTACTAGTATTCTTTTCAGCTCTCCAACCCTGTATTGGAGTAACCCAGAGATGGGTCTATGATGTCAACCTGGGGAAGAGTGCTAGAGGTAGATTAAAGATCCACAGAGAGATGTCAGATTTATATCTTAAACTATAAAGCAATAAAGCTGTAAAGCTGTAAAACCATCCATGGATGTCTAGACAGTTCTAGCCCCGTGATACCCTATATCTACCTACCTAGGTATAAAGAGTAAAGTGCCAGATCTGTACCTACCGTCATTGCATCTTTTAAGTTAAAGTAAACGTCTGATTTATTTTGACATATGTATATGTAGGTTAAGTACATACTATCAATACTTACATCTATGTGATTGGCTCTAATGGGAGATTGGGCAGGGAAATAATTAATACAACATTATCGACACGTCTGAATGATAGCCCCCTCCCAATAGAATAGACCTATATAACCCATAGACATAATAGTATACATAACCTTGGATCCCCCAAACCCAGATCAGAAAAATGATCACTGTCAGTATCATTCATTCTAAATCTTCCCAAGTTCAACTTCAATTCCTTTTTATAAAAAAAAAAAATTTATAAAAAATTATAAAAAAAAAAAGACAAACGTTGAAATCCTTTGTGTGGAGGCACCTAACGGAGTCGAGACTCGCGGGTAAGTTTAGTTTGATTTACCCCTGAGCTTCGTGACTTCAGCTTTTTTTTCCCTCCCACTTCTCTTTCTAACCCTCGCTTTTTCGTTTCTTTTCCTTTTCTCTTGTGCTTTTCGTTTCTGAGGTTTCTTGTGTGGTTCCCACTCTAAAGAAGCACAGATCAGATCCCAGACCAGGGATCCTTTTACTTTGTCCTGCTGTTACCGGGGCTGCAGGACATCCCGGACACGCCTAGACGTTTTAACTATTCACTCGGTCTAATTTACCGTGTCGGTTATCTGCATTTTGTCATTCAAGACCTCTTGCTAATTGATTAACAGAAGTAAAGAGAAAAGAAAAAAAACAAAGAAAGAAAGAAAAAGCGGACCCTCATTCTCTCCCCCACAAGCCGTTTTCTGACACGCAAAGTCAATTGTTAGTCGCATTCCCGACATGTCCTTCTTTTCTCGGGTGTTTCGGGGCAAGGACTCCACTTCGACGAAGAAGCAGGCCAAGCCCACCGCAGTCAACACAGCCCCCGCGAAGCCCAAATGGACCGATGCGTGGCAGCGGACAGAGGTTGCGCCGGAAGAAGTCCAAGACCTTGTACGAGGGTGTGTGCATGAGCTCAAGGCCAGAGGTAGGTGGATTGATATCTTGACCGTGAAATACGCGCCATACGGGCCATTGTTCGGATTGCTGATCATTCGTCGCTACAGCTCTCGACACGCCGTTCCTTCTCCTACCGTTCCGTCCAAGCTCCGATCCTAGTGCAGCTCGCACGTTCATTCGCAATTACTTCAATCAGTCTTTTGACAAGGGCTCACCCGTTAACGGAGATGTCTTGTCACAGGAGCTCCGGCTCACTGAACCGATGGTGGGGGATAACTTCTTCCCAGGGGTTATCAGAGGAGCTACTAACATTGATGATCTCAATAGGTTCTTTGTGGTGTGATGAAATGGTGCTGGAGCAGACTCCCTGGCGGTGTCGTCACTTGGGAGGCGTACGAGACCTTCAAGATGGGCGAACATGGTATGCGGTATTGAATGGAATGCGGGGAACACACGCGCTGATGGAACTTTAGATTCGGATATGGCCCGCGACGCTTTCTCGACTTTCATTCCGATCGGCGGCGATTCCGATGCACGTACCAATATTATTCTCGACTTCTTCGACCTTTTGGCTGCCATTGCGGCCCATGGAAAATCCAATGGCTTGGGAGGCCGCAAGCTTTCCCGATACGCTGGATGGTGGGCGTTTGAGCATATCGATACAGGCAGTGGCTTCGAGGCCGCCTATAAGAACTGGGCTGTGTATGGACTTCCATGGATCTAATATTTAGAGATGGTATTCTAACATCCGATCTCTATCTAGCGCCGCCGATGCTACGAGTCACTTGTTCTTCGCCTACCTTCGTTCGTTGTCTCCCGATGTCCATCGCGGCGTGAGCGGCATCTCATCGCTACCCATCTCTCTCCAATCACTCGTTGAAGCGACCGAATACCCTCCTGAAACCCCGACTTTGTTGCAAGTAACGACGACAAAGGTGGTTATGATTGTGGAGAACGTTTCCCCAACGCCATTTTCCTTGTTGCGACGCGCCAAGAACTTTGAATACCGCGACGACGATTGGCACCTGCAGGAGTTTGCCAACTACGAAGACCCCGTCAGCGCATTGACCGACGAGTGTCTCCGTGTTCTCAGATGTATCTCATCTGCGAACCAATCCAGCGTCTCTAGTACCAAGCAATCCACTAGTTTACGGGATGCATCCTGGTCTCGTTTCGAGGATATCGGGTTCGGTGGTTCAATCGACTCTGACCCGGAGGATGAAGCCAAGGAAACTGCTCCGCCGGCGACGGGAATGACTACAAAGAGTGGACCCGCGGGAAGCTTGCAATCCGTTCCTCAATCTGGAGGAGGTGACCTTGGCCGTCCCACAACCCCCTCATGGGCAGACTTCATGTCCTCCGGATTCGCGGATGAAAACGGGTTGAAGAGCCACGTGAGCCCTCTGCTCTTGCCTCCTGACAAAGTTCTACCTCCCATTGCCTCTGCGCGTGGCATGAGCTCCCAGTCGCACAAGCGCTCTCTGGATATCGAGCCGGATCTCGAGCCTGCCGAGTTGGCGAGTATCACCACCCTAGACATGGACGACTCGTTCTGGTGGGTTTGGATCAGCAGTCTGTCGGGTGATGAGCCATCTACTCGCAAGGCTGTGTTTGGTCGATGCGCGCTTCTGGAAACTAGAATTCGGGATACCAAATGGCTGATCCTTGAAGAGCAAATCAAGGGTGCTGCCCCAGAGCCTGAGGCCGGTGCTCAGATTGTCGAGAAGAAGCGATTCTTCAGCTTTGGTAGCCGTAGAGGAAAGCTCAGTCGCCGCAAGTCGTCGGCCAAGAAGATGCCTAACATTGAAGACTCGTACAAGCGGCCCAACAACCAGGGAACGCACAGCAAGACCAGCATCGGACCGGATCAGCACAAACGCATCCAGGAAGCTGCGGCCGCCCTGCAAAAGAAGCACCGCGAGCAAGAAGCGGAGGCGAAGGAGAACCGCGCCGCTCCTAATAATAGCCGTTACTCTAAGACCAACTCCGTCATGACCCTTCAGCCTGCCATTGTGAATGAAGCCTCCCAGGCCATGAAGTGGACTAAGAACTACGACAAGGGTGCCTTCAGGGCGGCATATCTCAAGGATGACCGCGCTGGCACTGGCCATCTTGAAGAACTCCAGGACGCCCCCGAGCCGATTTCGAAGGACACCGAGGAGGAGCCTGCCACACCGTTGACACCTCTTCCGACCAACACTTCAAAGAGTGGTCCACCGCCACTTCCAAAAGAAGCTGCTGCTGCTGTATCCACCCCTCTTCCACCTTCTCCTAAGGAAGCGCCAACTAAACCTGTTAATGGAACCACTCCCCAAGAGGAGAAGCCCACCACAAAACCTGCTGTTGTTGGAGAACCCACTGAGCGTCGAGACTCAGTGGACGAAGCGGGCAAGAAGCCGAAGAAGAAGACTGGCAATTCCGCCTTTAAGAGCATGTTTAGTGCCAAAAAGAAGCCCGAACAGCAACAGCTTCCTGTGAAGCCCGCTGATGTCAAGGAAATCTCAAATGTGGCAGCTACCCGTGCGGCCCTCGAGGCCAAGGCGAGAGCAGCTCAGGAGTCTGGTCCCGTGAAGAAGAAGCCTCTCCCTGTCGCCGCCGCCGCCGCTGCCGCGGTTACTCCCGTAGCTACTAAGGCGGAAAAGCCATCATCGCCCGAACCTGTTCAACCAACCGTCAAGGAACCTACGGCAAAGCCCCCAAGCCCGACTCCACCCTCTGCCTCTCTGAAAGAGAACGGTGCGCCGCCCAAGACCAGACGCGCCGTCGAGTATGACGCTCTTTCGCGCGTTAGCACCAATGAACGCGACGCGGCCGATCAGGAGTTCTCCAAATTCGACCAAGGCCCCTTGAGTGATCAGCCTGCTTTCGTCCCCGAGGATTCCCCCAAGGACGACAAATTTGCAGTACAGAAGACCGAGGTTCCGCAGACCCCGACTAACGGCAATGGTGTGCGCCCCGAGACCGCCACGTCGCCTGACTCAACCGAAGCCACGCAGGATCGCTGGAAGGCGATCCGCGAGGCTGCTGCCCAGCGAACTGCCGCTGCCAACGAGGAACAAGCGCACGAGCACGATACCGAGGCCAACACCCGGACTAGCCAGTCAGAGCGCACTGACGAGGGAGATACTAGTGGAGAAGAGAGTGAGTAGTAACTTCCATCCGCAAACCTGGCCCCACACTAACAATTTGTTTTCACAGCTATCGAAGCCCGTGTCGCGCGCATCAAAGCCCGAGTGGCCGAGTTGACCGGCAGCGCCGAGGATGGCCAAAGACGCTAGTCTGTGACGTCCCCATACCAATTTCCCTTTATTTTTCCAGATCATTTTCCCCTGGTCCTCTATTCGCTATGATCCAGGATGTATCTTTTGTTAATCGTATACCCTTCTCCCGACCAAACATTGGTCGTGTTTGCTTATTGAGCGCGGTCTGAAGACCGAACGAGGTCCCCATTTCCATGATCTGAAGATGGACAGGCCGACGAATACTGCGATACGATTGATGGATTTCTTTTCTTTTTCTTTTTTTGGTTGCGACATCTGTTTATTTATCTTTTTTCTTTTCTTTCAAATCTCTCTTGACCCTTCTCCAGTCTCTGATCTTCGACTCAACCGATCTCCTCCTGTCTTGGTTTATTTCCTTTCCCATCAAATTTGGGCTGCTGTTTGTTTTTTATGTCCGTTGCTCTATTCCCCTTTCGCTACTGCTATTGATTCTGGTTTCGCTACCAATATGAATCGCTTTGTGCCTTTTGAATTGAAGCACTATCTACGTAATATGGAGCTCTTACTTATTTCAAGCATACAATCCAAACCAGAATAATATACTAACGGCAAACATTGAATAACACGATCGAATAACATGATCGTAATATCACATTCTGTATGTATCCTTTTTTACCTAGCCTAATTCCAATCCTATATCCTAAACTAAAACTACAACCCCAAAGCCTTCAAAATCGCCTTCCCAACCCCAGTCGCAGACCCAGGATTCTGCCCGGTAATAATCGTCGACCCCGTCCCAGCCGCTTTACCAACAACAACCATCTCCCCCCCAAGCCTCGGCAGCCTTAACATACTTCCCACCAGTAACCCGTCCAAGCTCCGTCTCCAACATAAACGGCATCGCAGCAGACAGATTCACAGCATCTTCCTCCTCATTCGAGAACCCAGTCACGCCGACGCCGGAGATGAGCGGTACGCCAGAAGGTGCTTTTGCGTTTAGCAGGACGCAGGGACCGTGACAGACAGCCGCGACGGGCTTATTGGCGGCCGCGAAGGTTTGGATTAGAGCCAGGGAGGTGGGGTCGTTGGTTAGGTCGAACATTGCTGTATATATGAATTGGTTTGTTAGATGGTTGTTATTTGTATAGATAGGATAATAGGATAATAGGGTAGAGGATAGCATAAATATAGCATAGCATAAATATAGTTAGAAGAAAAAGAAGAAAAGGTAGACAACTCACGTCCATGACCGCCAACGTAGAAGAGAGCATCGAACTCGTCCGCGCGCGGGAGAATATCTGCTAGCTTGTGCGTGTTCGTCCAGAGGGCTTTTTGTTCTTTCAGGAATTTCTGGGAGAGCTCGTCGGATTCGGAGGCTTTGACGGAGGATGGGTCGAGGGGTGCTTCGCCGCCGTTTGGTGAGGCGATTGTTAGGGAGACTTTGTCGTGGAGGACTTCGTGGGGGTGGGCGAATTCGGGCTTTGGGGTTTATTGTTAGTATGGGATTCATTTTGGATTTGGGGTGTTTTATTCTTATTGTAAGAATTGATAGGATATGTAAGTGCTTAATTGAGTGCTTTTGCTTCATTGAGTGCTTAATTGAAGCAATTGGGTTACGTACCAGATACCAGCCGGTTGGGTGACCGGTTTCGCCGAGCTTGTCGTGGGAGGTGAGAACGACGAGGACTTTGGGTGCCATTTTGGTGGTTTGGTGGTTTTTAGGATGTCGATGGAATTGAATTGAATGGTTTGGTTTTGTTTTAATCGAATTGAGGGCGAAGAGTGGCTATGAGCTTTTTTATATCCCCCTCCGGCTTGTGACGATCAGTAGTATCACTATCCCGTCACTGACCCCACCAAGGTTAATTCGTGGATTATTCATCCATGCCGTTCCAATGCGGATTCTTATTGGTCAATTAAGACTTAAAATTGTGAAGCTCAGCTGGTTGGATTTATAAGATGATGTCATATCCATGGGAATCCAATTGATAGCACGTGCATCTGTGAAAAAGTCACATGACTTCAATTTTTATTAAGCTATCCCAAGCTGTTGTGTACATGCAACTAGTCTCATCACGTGCAACTCTTTTCTTTATGTTACCCCTCTTTTTACATGGGCGTATATCTTTTCATGTTATCGACATTGATGATCTTGATAGATGATCAAGATTCCAAGATACACACTTGGGACATCGGGACGGGAACTGTGGGGCTACCATATTCCAATGGGTTGGACCTCAAATTCCACAACCTTCGGTGTAAATGATTCATTCGCTAAACCTCATTTCAAATTCCCAGGCTATCCCATCCTTCGCCTATCCTATACAAACAAAAACTCAAAATGACCGAAAATTCCAAACCTCATTATCGTCAGCATCAATCTCAATCAAACACCCTGTGACGTCTTCCCCGGTGTTCTTTCATGTTATCCACACGACCAAAGGCCTGACCACACTCCGGACACTTAACGGAGCGATGTACGACATGCTGTACTTTGATATGGCGCATCAATGATGCATGGCTGCTAAACGTCTTGCGCCGTGTACAGCCACTCCAACCACATTTGAAAAGACCACCCGAATCACTGAGATAGAAGGCAGACTATTAACAACGAACTGGAAAAGGTGGAATCATGTGACTCGGACTCACTCTTGCTGTTGCGGTTCACCATGAACAGAAGTTGACTCCACATTAGCAGCTCCACTCTGCTGGTTTGGTGGGGATAGCTCTTGGGTGGAGGGACGTGGTGTCGAGAACCAGGTATGAGTTGTGGTTTGACCCTGGCTGAGGTGGTCTTCGGCTCCAACCTCAGTGTCTCTGTACTGCATGGTCGGGGAGAGCTGCATGTTGCTCTGGTAGAAGTTGTCCGCTGCGGGGTGACCTACGGCGGTATACATAGTCCGGCCAGGGTGAAGAGACCTGGAGGCATGGCTCATAGAAGGGCCGCAAAGAGGCCAATTCGTAGAGGACGCAGGTATATGTCCTGCCGCAGATGCAGGTGTTTGGGTCGGCATAGTCCAGTTGGGGCCAAGGAACGTGGAGGCGTGGCTCACAGAAGAGTTGTGAGGAGGCCAATCTGCAGAGGGGAGAGGTGGAGGTGGTTGCATAGCAGACGTTTCCGCATGGGAATTATGCTTCTCACTGCTAGGTTGGAATATTTGTTGTAGCCGCAAATATTCTTCGAAGTCTGAACTGTGTACCATGATGGATAGAAAAGAGGGATTAAGATACTAAGCATGTCTGTACTAGGAGGGAATTCAATGCTTTATAGTAAAGAGATAATGTGTCTATGGATCCAGGCTCACTCATCCTTGATAGGAGCCCCAACCTTGGCAAATGAGGCCGTGCAGCAGAACGATTGGTCAGGTACCCAGCCAGTAGTAGTGCCCGCTTTATGGCCGCTGGAACAAGCTTCGGTCACTAATAGAGGTATCCATTGGGAAGAAATCAAGCCACAAAGAGAAATGGGGAATCTTCCTAGATGTGATACAAGCTGTATGGATTTGTACTATAGCTAAAGTAAGGGGCTTCGCGTGGGTTAACAAGATGTCTAAACTACTTGACTTTTAACAGCATTTTGTGATTCCTCAATTTCATTTACTATATACTATATACTATATAATCTTTTTTGGGTCTATGTATTACTACTCTGGGATATATAGTTATTGGTACAGCTGATCTTTGCGGGATTTTGTGGAGCAGAAATTTCTCCCATCTCTCGAGATCTGCAGTTTCACAGGGATGGTCCTACATAGTCCTGGAGGTAGGCACTCCACATATGCCACTCCACATAATGCGTTGAGTCTTGATTGCTGAGTGGTTGCTAAGTAGAATGGATTCCCCACCACCGCCGTTTCCTCAGCCACCGCCCCTTCTCTCCTTATTGTCCGATCCACTTATTTTTCTATTCAGTCTCCCTGATTGGCTGTCCTAATGCACCAACTCATCCCGAGCTCGGGTTATCTTCGATTTCTATAAGTCTCCGAACCTCATTTTCTCCTATAGTATCAACATTTTCGTTCCTTCTATACTCCGGGAACAGACGCTAGTGACTGCTAGTCTATAAAATTTAGAGGTTTTTACCGAAGCTTCTAAAAGTCCAAGCCTGGTGTTTATATAAGAAAGATATATTAAATGCAAATAGTATTAGCATCCTAACATATTCAAATCAGTTTATACTAGGTAGATCCGATCTTGGGCAAAAGGTTCCGGTACCCGCGCCGGGCCACGTCCTGGGGTAAAGTAGTCTCGCCGAGGACTCCACACATATTCTACGTTAGGCAGCGGTTGAAATCAGGGTTAGGCTTATGCGTTGGCGATCGGGGAAAAATGGGCAAGCAAACAGCCCAGCGAGTAACTAACTAACATAACTATAACTAACTAACATGATATACGGAGTACATGTTGCATTGTCGAATATTGAACGCCACACTCGTCACACCATACCAAAAAAGCGCTTAATTGGCGCAAATCTGAAGGAATGGCCTTAGGTCATCCACCTGTTCCTGACCTGAACTTCCTCGTGTTCGGTCTAGATCCACCTTGGCATATAATCTTGGTATTCGGGACAGAGAAATGATAGATATATTGTATAAAGAAGAGATTAGAGCAAAATTCTCTTTTGGGTATAGACTGAGCAATAAGTGCTCTATATGTTGTAGAAGCATTGAGTGCTACATACTAGATCATCACCCCTTCCCCGGAGTCAAAGTCCCATCAATTTCCAAGTAATCAGCGAGCGTCAGGTGAGGTCACCTGGGCACTCTGAGCCTTGACTAAAACTCACTCATTTGAGTCTGCCTTTAAGCGTCCTCATAGAATCGGTAGCTATCATTTGAAGATGGACAAGTCCCATCTGGCAGAGAAAATATAGTACGTAAAACTATGTATTATGTATTATGTATGTGAAATGCCAAACCAAAAGGAAAAAAAAGAAAAGACAAAAACTCCTTTTACGGAGACAAATCAAGGGCCCAGCTCACTGTACAAGTAGACTCTCTCTCTAGTTATTAGTGTGTACATAAACCCCAAATCCCAACCTTAGTCAAGACAAGGCTCGCATGCAATATACACCGGGTATCGAGCAAAAATCAATAACTATTCATCACAACGGATCGTAATTTTGCAGCTTCCACAGCTCCCGCTCTGCACTGCTTGGTGCTCATAGTATATACCGCAGTCGACGGGTAGCCTCAGCCGCCACGAGCGCGCTTATTGCCCCGATGAAGAGACAAATGGAGATGGCGTTATACCTATCCTTGTCGAGGTTCATCCACGAATCCGAATTGTTATCAGAAGTAGGCTCTGGGCCTGGTTCGAGGATGCTGAAGACAATCCAGCTGATGAAGGTTCCGACGAATTGGGGTAGAGTCGTGTACACATTTAGCACACCCAGGTAGATACCGGCCAGTTCACCTGTTGACGGGATATTGGAAGCGAGTTCCTCCTCGTCGGTGTCACTGTCGGTGGAATCGTGGTGGTTCAGTCGGAGGACATCTAGCTCGGTGTCGGTGGCGTTGTTGCGTATACTTGCTGATGTGATCATTGTCACGCCGGATCGTGAGGATGGTATTGCGGGGGAATAGCCGCCCATTGTTAGTTTGTTGATTTCAACGCCCATAAAGGCGAATGGAGCCCAGCCGCTGATTGCCCAGGGAATACCGCATACTGCGACTAGGAAGGTTGCGAAGGCGCGAGAGTGTGCTAGTGGGGCGAAGATCATTGTCGCGGCGAACATGACGTGGGAGATCAGCCAGGCGGTTTGGAGGTCCGGTCGGATTGCGGTGATGGCTTTGAGAACTGCTGCTACCTTTGGTGGGGGTCGGGCGGTGAATCGTGTCCGTTTGGTACCTGGTTGCATGATACAAAAGGGTAGGAGTACAGAGCTGAGGACTGTGATGGATGAGAAGACCGTTAATGAAAGACTGCCCACGCGGCCGACTTCACCAAGCATGTCTGTTGCTTTGGCCATATCGTCTTTCGGTACTTCATAACGGAAGTAGGTTTCGCCAACCCAGGTTGTGCTGTAGAAGAGAAAGGGGAACCAGCCTAGTTAATGTTAGCATTGCTGATTTCCCAGTAAGTGTGGAATTTCCCATACCAATCCAAGCCCAGAATTGGGCCCAGCAGATTGCTTGGATACGAGGTGGCAATTCGAAAGTAGTTTTGAAGAGTTGAGAGAGGACCTGAATAGCACCAGCACTTCCGTCATCCCTGTTATCACAAAAGATTAGTTGATGGCAATAAGTATCGGTTCAAGTTCAACCCACCTTGCCGATATCAGGACTCGCTCCTTTACTGAGTATGAGGTGATTGCCACTGCCATCATCAATGACAAAGCGGCAATCACTGTCATCTGTTTGAACTGCGTATCTCCAAGGAAAGTACCAAAGATGCTAACGGTATCGATGGCACCAACCACATAAGCAAAGAGCTGGCCAATGGCAGACATCCTCCCGGCTACATTGTACGAAAAAAAGGGTCAGTGGCGTTTTAAGCTGAGACATAGGAAGGGGCCATACCCCATGCGGATCCAGCTTGTTGCGATGGAATCGGTAGCGTATCCACAATCAGACCGCGACAGCACGCTTGAACTAAGACATTGTAAGCCACCTTCAATTAAGGTACGGATGAGTATATACCACTTACCAACGTTGATGGAGAAATCCACTGCATAGATACTCACCACAGCCAGGGCAATGGTGCCATTTTTGGCCTGTGTAAATTCAATAAATTAGCTTCCACATATTCATAGACCTAGGAAGATGAGTGTCCCAATAAAAAAAGGATATATACCTTTTCCGGATCTTTAACAAATAAACCAACAATCTCTTTCGTCCATCCCAAAACAAGCAGACAGAAAGCGACAACAAGCGATCCAAAGACCATGAAAGGTCTGCGTCGACCCCATTTTGATCGAGATCGATCGGCAATAACTCCAATAAGAGGTTGGATAATCAATCCAGACAACGGACCAGCAATCCACACCAACGAAGTCTTAGACTTCGTCAAACCAAGTTGAAGAAGGTATGGTGTACAATCTACCAAAACAAATCAAGTCAGCGATCATATCCTAAATCAGTCCCGACGGAGATTATTTGGAATGTGGATAGTTAGCTCTTACAAGTCATCTCAGTACCCCACGTGAACCTATTCCCAAAGAAACTCCAAAATCAGCCACAGACACAACACAACGATCGATCCATGGTCTCCCAAAAGAAAGAAAAGCACAGGCTAGACAATGTTGCGCAGCATCGAACCCGCTATATCCGACCGAAACAAAACAGAAAAGGGCAATACGCACTGCAATCCCACCAAACTAAATGTCAAAAGCGCCATCCTGGTGGACTCATTCCGACCCTGGATGGAGGGCGTTCCCGCCCACCTCGCAGCCTGCGGCATCCTAATTATCCACGTGCTATCATGCACTCAGTTATCTCGCGCTCGCGCTCATGAACCAAACCCCAAAATCGAAGGTAGCTGGTGTGGTGGCCTATCCAGTAACCGAATCAAGACGAAAACACCCGTCGAGAAGGGACGCGCAATTCAGAATCGAAATAACAAAATGTATGATCTAGGAAGGTCGGGGATGCGTTTTGGTAATTGGGAAAGGGGCCGGAGGGTGCCTAATCCTTTCGGGGAATTGAGTCGCGTGCTCTTTTAGTGGCCGTTGGGGGAGCTCGCGGGGGGCCGAAGCGGTGCACGGTACGTCCGGGATTCGTCGCTTGTTGACGGCGCGGGTTGCAAGGAGGCTTGCCGGGTTGCGATGGAGGTGTTGATGGGTGTCTTTGCTGTTATCGAAAATCGGCTATGGAAATTATAAGAGAAAAAGGACCCTTTGTCACAGTCGAAGAAGAAGGAGAGAAAATCCGTATTGGCCTAAGCGCCTCCATGCGGGCCCCCGGCCTTATCGATTCATTTAATTTACGAGCGACCCGCCAGCCCTGGAGCCCTTATGCCGATCCCGGCTTTTCGCAATGTCAGGGTCGGCTATGCTGGGGCTTTTATTTGTCTGTATACGGGGTCTAGATTTCTACTCTAAATGCGTTAGGTTTCTAGCATTCTGTACGGAGTATTCCAACGTTTGTTTGCAGCCAGGGACCTCGGCCTTATGTCAGCAGCTGGATGGACCCTTGCTGATTGGCCACGTGTGATGATGTAATCCCGAGCAATGTGAGCCAATTATAGAAACACAGGGGGGATTGTACAGGGGGATTGTGCAAAGTACACACGGGACATGTACAAAGGACGTGCACTCGGCAAACTTCGTATAGGGGCTCTCATTCGGGACTTATCTTATTAGGAAAGTATCTTTACTCCGTACATATTACCATAGAAACTAGGTGGATGGAAGCTGATTTTATAACTCTCAACTCTAAAGGGACAATATCCACCAAAAGAAAAAACCAAACAAAATAAGGGGCGTAAATATCTTTCATTGCGTGCGTCGCATCCAATCCTAATTTTGAATTGGTCTCGAAAACCTAAGTATCACAGTATGACGCGACTCCTGCCTGCCGGCCAATCAACCAGAGTCAGAAAATAGAGATTTTAATTCCTTCGTATCCCGAATCCGCTTCCCATAATCATCGTAAACAGCTATACTCTGAAAACCTACAGCCGGTTGGGGGCCGAGGTAGTGACGGGCCACTGGTAGCCAGCGGCATCGCTGAACTTGTAGCCGTATGAAGCAGTGAAGTCATCAAGGACCGCGGGTCCACGGGAGCCTAGATATAAATTAGTTATATGTTATGATTGGAGAAGAAGAAAAGCAGGTAAACTCACCGTAGGGGTACTCCATGGGGATGATCTCCTTATTATCATCCAAGTAGTGCAGGAGGGGAGTGAAGATGCGCCAGCTGGCATCCAACTCATCGTCACGGACGAAGTTGGAGTGGTCGCCCTTGAAGGCATCCAAAATCAGGGACTCGTAGGCCTCGGGGATCTTGAGGTCGGAGAAGCGGCGGCGGTAGGTCAAGTCCAGCTCGGTAACCACCGTCTGCATGGAGAGACCAGGCAGCTTGGAGTTCATCTTGATGTAGACGGACTCGTTTGGCTGAACCCGGATGACAAGCTCGTTACGGGGAATGTCCTTGAAGATACCGGAAGTGACATCCTTGAACTGGATGCGAACCTCGGTCTTCTGCTCGTTCAGGGCCTTTCCGGCCTTGAGGATGAAGGGAACACCGTCCCAACGCTCGTTCTTAATGTATGCAACCATGGCGCAGAAAGTCGGGCAACGCGACTCCTTAGGTACGGTATCATCCTCCAGGTAACCGGGCTTGCTACCATCGAGGGAACGGCCGTACTGGCCGATGATGACATTCTTGGGCTCAATGGCATCCATAGCGCGGAGAACACGGACCTTCTCGTCACGGATATCCTCGGAGGAGAAAGAGATGGGGCGCTCCATGGCGAGCAATGTGAGAACCTGCAGAAGGTCTATCGAATTGTTAGCTTTTTTTTTTTGCTATATCTAGTCAGTGCGATTGAATATACTTACGGTTCTGCATAACATCACGGATAATACCGAACTCATCGAAGTAGCCACCACGGCCCTCAGTGCCGAAGGGCTCCTTGAATGTAATCTGCAGCGGATATTAGGACCCGATATCCGGAATAAGATCGCTTCACCACATACCTGAACGTTATCAATGTGGCGGCGGTTCCATGTGGCATTGAAGAACTCGTTGCCGAATCGCAGAATTAGGATGTTCTTGACCATCTCCTTACCAAGGTAGTGATCGATACGGAAGATCTCCTCCTCCTTCCAGTTGGGCTCCAAAGCCTTCTGGAGGTCGCGGGAGCTCTGAAGATCCTTACCGAAGGGCTTCTCGACCTATTAAAAAGAATAGGTGTATCAATATGAGGTTTTGGGCCAGGCTGTCCAGGGAAACTCACAATAATGCGAGCGAGACCGCTCTTGGGGTAGCAGTTGCGCTTCAGCTGCTCGGACACAGTGGTGAAGACACTGGGAGGCAGTGCCATGTAGAAGACGCGGTTCTGCTCCTTCGATTGACGGTTGTTCTCGATCTCCTCGAGGTGCTTGTTCAGGCTGATGAACGAATCATCTTGATCATATTGGCCGGAAACATAGGTGCACATCTTGCAGAACTGATCTAATTGATCTTCAATCTCCTTTGTGGGGATCTTGATGTACGAGCGAACGCGCTTGAGGTATTCGTCGGTGTCCATCTTTGTCCGTGCATATCCGACGATCCGAATGTCCTTGGGAAGGAATTTGTTGCGGAACTATGGTAAAATTATCAGTGAGTAAGAACTAGATTAGTTAGTGGAAATAGCACATACGAGGCCAAAGAGTGCAGGGAACTATAGATTGGTTAGTACGTCAAAGAATCATCACATCCTAGAGGGGTACGAACGGTCTTCTTCTTCGCCAGATCACCAGATGCGCCTAGTACCACGATGATGGTATCATCTTTGAGTTCGATGGTGCTGAATGCGATATCCATTGTTAGTGTTTTGGTTTAATTGACCGAGAAAGATTTTTGCATTTGACGCGGCAATTGAGGGGTTGAGTGGGGAAGCTCTCTGAGCAGAGATGATCTGCGAAAGCGTTGAAGGAATGGATTGAGTATTATCGAGATCAAGGCAATAACTCCAAGATAGCACACTTTTGGGGGATAAGTTGAGGTTGACTTGAGCTGGAGGCAGCGGGTGGGCTTCCGCGGGGGGTAGAAGTGATGTCAGAGACGCAGGAGGGGAAACTCACCCAGCACCCTGACGGTCATCGGTCTGGTTGATCACACTAGACATATTGCACCAACCGCTTAATACACAAAAATGAAGATGAAGAAGAGTTGAGTAAGTTTGGAAAAGGGAAAAAAAAAGAAGAATGTTGAGGAACACCAACAGGACCCGGCGGAGTACTTTTTTAACGGAAGTTCACAGCTTCGGCTGGTGGGGCTTCTGGGTATTGGTATTTTATGACTCCAAGGCGTATTTATCACCTTTGGAGTGTTTTAGGTGTTTTGAATATTTAATTTTTATTTTATTTATTTTCGTACAATATTGTACTTATACATACAGAAGACGAGTTATATTTTGTTTCTCTTTGTTACTATTTAATCCCGGACTTAGGACCTACATACTCCTAGCCTCGTGGCAAATTCTAGTCGACTTCCTTATAACTTTCTTATATCAAGTTTTGGAGAGTCTTAAGTCCGATCTTCCTGCTCAATGTTATCGACCTTGAACCTTGAACCACTCTTAGATCCCACGGGATCTTACCCGTTTTGATTATCAATGCCCCGCGGAGCCAGGGACTATCTATCAGCACTGCTTACAACTGAGGCTCGGGTCGGGGCTCGGGGTGATACAAAATGCGTCGGGGCAATTGTCAAAGGGGCCCGATGTGAGCCTGTCGCTTATTCTTGTTTCAATAACAGCTTGCTTTTAGAGAGAAGAGAATTAGGGGAGGTCATCTGATAAGAGACGCAGTTCAGTTATAGGTGCGGATCATACTGCACCAACAAAACAGGCTGAATTCGACTGTGGAGTGATACGTGTCCATAACAATATTGTATATTGTATACGGAGTTATAGCAGCTATATTATATTTATGAACAGATTTGCGGTCAGCCTGTATAGTATGCACATGTATCGAAAGCGGAGCTGCATTAGGATAAAAAGTCATCACATCGAGGGGAAGGTTGTAGAATGTCCACTAAAATCCTTTTAAGGGAGTGTATCAAATTAAAGTACCGAATCTGCAAGAACAGGTACAATACATGGTATAGACCTTGAGCACGCAACTCGATAAGAACTTCGACCGGTGACCCAAATCGTGGGGATGGATCGGCACATTTGTCATTTTGTCCCAGACGGATTCTATTTTCCCGCGAGAGGCCACTTGCTTAGGTCCGGTTTGAGACTGGTATTGACCCGATCTATGATAGAGGGTCCGAATCCGGAGCATACATATTTAACCGTTGAGTGCTACTTGGGGGGGTATACTACCCTATCTATACTCTAACCCTAGTCTAGTTCCTGAGGTTTCTCATACAGAGTCCGCTTGTAAGTTGCCCCAAGGTTCAATCAATACATTACTTTCTTTGTACTCCGTATATTGTACATAACCGGTCTCAAAGGTAAGTCAGTATGTAATCCGTCAGCCAGGATGTGGGGCAGGATACATGAACTTCTAGATTTCCCAATCAGTGGTCTCGGTCTGAAGTATACAATCTACCGGAAGATTACCCGGATCATGTCACTGCTATCCTTTGAAGATATTGATTGTTCTTATGTTCCCAAGCTGGCTAATATTGATGAAAACAATTCACTATCTCGAGCTGCCGACGATAGCCTTTGCATATTGCTTTTTTCTTTAAATGAAACCCTTTCAACATTGAAGGTGGAAGGTGGGAACCCATGTCGTCATGGCTTAGGTTTGTCAGCTGGATAGCTGCAGACTTGTAGGCTTGGACTCGCCGGTCGGACTACAGTAGCCCGAGTGGCAGAAAAAAAAAAAAAAGTAGGGCGGTAAATGATCGGTAAATGAACCTCAAGGGTTCGGATCGGAGAAATAAGAATCCTGATAAAAGCTTATCTCATCTCAAATTCTGCCTATCTAATCGCTGATGTAAGATAGCGAGCGGTGTGTCCATCACGGGATCTCGCTTAGCCCTGATATATCACGTGGACTGTGGCTCGCTAAGATCCCGTTTAGGCTAGGGCGAAAACCAACACACGGCTGCCCAAATTGATTGTGCGCCTGACTCTATCGAAGCGACGACAACCACGACAAACGGGAACGACTTTTGATCTTGCGGGTCATTCCTTCGACTTTCTTTCCTTGCCCGCTCCCCAGAGAAACGCCGACACAATGCCTTCGGAACAAGGACACCGCCGTGAGTGAATCCCTCGAACGTCTGTCTTATCGATCGTCGTTTTGGCGGTCTCGAAATCGCAAACCCGCGTCTCGAGCAGGCACCTTGTGTGGTCGCACACTGGATAAAGAGACATGTGCTAACTATTTTATTCTTTTCTAGTCTACGTCAAGTAAGTTAAACCACCGCACTTTCATCGTCGCAATTAAGGATACACGAATTCGACATGGAGGACCGATTTGGGGGACACAAGACATCGCCACTCAAATCGAAACAACACACGATATGGACAGAGCATTAATACGAGTTTCTTTTTACAGGGGACGTCACCTGAGCTTCCAGCGCTCCAAGCACGCCCTGACCCCCAACACCAGGTATCTACACCCTGCGCACATGATATTGAATACTCGATGAAATGGAATCTGATATATGGTTATACAGCTTGGTCAAGATCGAGGGTGTTGATGACACCAAGTCCGCCAAGTTCTACCTCGGCAAGAAGGTCGCTTTCGTTTACCGTGCTAAGCGTGAGGTCCGCGGCTCCAACATTCGGGTGATCTGGGGCAAGGTCACCCGGCCGCACGGTACGTGAATTGAACAACCAGTCTCATGACCATTTATTTCCGAATGGCCCTCTGTGTCTGGAAACCCGAACTCAATTTCGTTTTTATCTGACTCGTTCCAGGAAACTCCGGTGTTGTGCGCGCCAAGTTCCGCCACAACCTCCCCCCAAGTCCCTCGGCGCTACCGTCCGCGTTATGCTCTACCCCTCCAACATCTAAACGGCTTCTTTGTGTTGTTTTCAGTGGGCGATTCACTTCTTCGCACAGACGGTCGGTCAGGCAAGGAAAAGTCGACGGAACGAGCCGATGTTGATTTGAGGTGATGGAGTTGGCGGGTTGATAACGTTTTGTTCGTGGGAGAAGGCAGGGCCAACAAAGCCCTACGAATCAAAAAATTTTACACTTTCATAGCTGTGTCGACCCCAAGATACTGGGAACGAGCTTCGTCTCGATATTTCTCCTTGTTCTTACAATTGGCGAGCATGATGTGTCTGGTCGCGCAGCGTCACTTCTCCCATTGTGTATCTGACGCTTAAACGCACCAAATTCCATACCATTTCAAATTTCAACAGACCGGTCAATCGATCCGCTTCTTCGTGCGTCTGTCTTCCATCTTTTGTTCTAGAAGAAAATTGCATTTCCTTGCTTTGGCTCCAATCTACCATGGCATATGCATGTTTTGCGAACCTAAATTATATATTTCCCATGGCAACATCAAGATAAACAAACCTCGGCCGTATCAATTTTAAAATTAGCTATAGCTCTAGCACCCATAGACCCTGTGTGGGCTGATTCGGCCTGATTCCCCAGGTTGTGTGATGTGGATCCTCCCCATGTTAACCACCTGAAGTTGGAAATAGAGGGCACTCTTTTTTCGCTCTATGCGATTATATCTGTGTTCTATGTTCTATGTTATTCCAGTTCTAGCTCCCACATGTTATTCTTCATCTTCAATTTTTTTATAAAAATAAAAAAGCGAAAAAAAATAAAAATCTACATATATATATTCCAACATAAAATCCGATCCGAACCCCACTCTAGCCGAAGTATATATTCCCGAGTATATAAACCCAAAACAAAAGTATCCTAAACACCCAACACTCAAAAACATACATCCCATCATGAAATCCTACAAAGTTTCCTTGTGAATCGATTGTCTATGTGCTTTCAAATTCTCCCGTCGACTCGAAGCATGGTCACACCAGGGACACTTGAAAGCGCGAGGGTTGATATGCTGAGTCTGGATGTGTCGCATGAGCACACCTTTACGCGAGAATAGACGGTCATATAGACAGCCCTTCCACTCGCATTTGAAGGTTCCGTAATTATCGCTCTCCCTAGATGAAGTGTGTTCAGCATTCTGTACGATGATTATGACAGCGTTTGAGGAAAAGAAGAAAAGAAGAAAATACACACTTTCTTTTGGCCCGTTGACGAGAACGACACGGCATTTTGCCCTGGCTGTGTCCATTGTTCGTCTCATCCAGCTGAATTGTCTCTTTTATTACGGGAGTCGAGACTGGGAGGTCATCCCATGGACTGGGGCATCTAGCGTCGTAGAGGCTTGCTGGGGAGGGGACGGTGTGGGTTGCTTGGGTTGGAATGGACCTTGTGTGATTGTGGATGGGGCGTTTGATGGTGTTTGGGTCTAGGTACGACGACGAAGGAGTGGGGGACAGCATTGACCCAAGGGCAACAGGTGTAGAGGGGAGTTGTGTGAGGGGAAGCTGGAATTGATAGTTGTATGAAAGAGGTCGAGTGGTAGGCGTTCTCGCAGCAGTGGTGGATGGATCAGGTGACGGGGACATGAGAAGAGTCTCGGGCTGTTTGAGATGTTCGGTTCTCCAATTCTCAAATTCGGCATCGGACCATTGAAACGCGGCCTCCGAGATAGTTGGGTTGTTGTTGCGTGGTGGCCACGCCATCATGGTATAATCGCCGACCTGGATGTAGTAGAGAGTGAGGATAAGCTACACGAATGCTTGTGGGCGGTTAGATAGAATAATTTCTTTGAGCCGATGAAGGGCAGCCGAGTATTTATAAATTCGAGTCAATGTGATTCTGAGGTACAGGGCCGGCCAATCCCACTAAAAGCCGCACTTGGGGAGACTACACACCAACTGACAGAGAGAGAGAGATGGGCAAAAGAGAATAAAAAAAGAAAATTAGAAGAACGGGCGGGATCAAACTTGGGGAGACTGACGCAACTACTCGGAATAACTCCCAAATTGTTCTAAAAGACTTCTAGAAAGCAGGGGGTTTGTTCTGTGCGTCAAGCCCATGTCTAACATTACTACATAGGGACAAGGGCGATTCCAATAACAACGGAATCATTATTCTGGCTCTTTTAGCCAGCTGAGCATGATGCCCCGGTCTCCAATGGTCCTTGGCTACAGGGAACACAGTATTTGCATTCTTGATCTCTCGGGTTCTGGCCCGAAGAAATGGCGCCCCATAGAAGCAGGAGAATAACTTGAAGTGTGATAATGCTGCAGGTCACGAGCTAATCATATTCGACACAGCATCAACACTAAGCCCAATTGATAACGAGGGCGAAGAGTGATTAACATGTATAATAGATCTTATCCCCCGCCTTGGGGTATTACTAGTTCAAATGCGGTATAAACTGCATTTGACTACTCCGTATAGGTTTATAAATTTAGCAAGCAGCTGAAATAATGCATGCACCAATTCCAAATCCATGGACCTGGGCATAGGAATCGGTTGATAGTTATCTAGTGTTATTCATTGCGACGAACTTGTTCTGCTTGACTGTTACGTAACGTCTGCAAGATGCAGATCATTAACCACGAGGAGTCACAAGGCTAACTGGGGATATACGAGAGAGATCGACACATTCTCTTGGCTACATTCCTTTCTTTCCTTATTTTGTCCTTTTTTTAACACTTTTAACGCCCGTCCCATTTGATCCTTGTGCTTTTTCGTCCTGCAGTTAGACCCTGATAATGACAAAAAAGATTTATTCAAAAGAATCCTCAGTACGGAGTATATGAACTATTTATGTGAGTTGGTTGAACATGGATGTGGCAGGGATCCCGTTTCAGGGTTACATTGCATTGATCAGGGCCAGCGCTGGGGGCGGTCCCAAATGTTAGAATATTATCACTGCATATCTATTCCAGGGACTCTAACTTGATTATACCCATGCATGAGATAGCATGATGAGAGGTTAATGATCCTCCCAGACTTTCTTCCGTCAAGTTAGGGTCCCGGGAACTTTGTTGTTGACTTACAGACCGGACGATCTATAATTTATCCCGGGATATCGAAATTATAAATAAAAGAGCCTCAAACATTGGCTTAGGTGACGAGTGTGATTGCATGTGACGGGAAGTGCATTTGCGGGCGAACTACATTGGTGATGGACTCGTATATGCATGCAAATGCATGGGGCGGAGTCTAGCTGCATGAGCTGGCAGTTCACGGTCCTATCATTACTTCTATGTTATATAATGATAATGCAGTATTACCCTATTACATCCCTACTTTCTGCCCGATCTTCCATTATTTCTTGCTCCCAATCAAAATATAATCACTCCAAAACCAAGCTCCAAAATTCCGGGTATCATTGAATATCAATATCAAGCGCTAATATACCATAATCCAAATTCAACATAAAGATTCTCCCAGTGACTCCAGACACAATGCAAACTCAAGCTTTTCATCATAATCGCTGCGAATGAACTCTTCCCAAGTGTTCAGTCATATTGTCCCGTCGAGAGAACATCTTACCACACACAGGACATTCAATCGAGTGAGGCGAGACATGCTGCGTTTCTATATGACGCATGAGAACACCCTTGCGGGAGAACACGCCGCGGTATTTGCAGTCTCTCCAGTTACATTGGTACGTCCCTCGAAGTTCGCTAGAATGACAAGGGTGATGTTAGCATGGTGATGATCCGCTAGCTGGGGCACTATACGGATGGATGGCTTACTCGTTTCCCGGTCTGAGTGTTCGGGCAACACCATAGATGGTCTGCATTTCATGACCACCGAGACTTGATTGGGACATTTCTTGCATAGCGGGAGTGGATGATCCCGATCCCGATGGTGTGGTGCACGGAGTACTGGACTCAGAGCTGAGATAGCCCATAGGCGAGAGCTCACGAGGTCTATTGTTCTCGATCAAGGGATTGTGTACCGTATTGTGATTGGGAGAATCGAAGTCGGTATGAGTCAGGATAAAAGGCATGTGGTAGTTGGGATGGACTGGTGCGGAGGGATGCTGCATGAGAGTATTGTACGGAAGATGGTTCTCAGGGAACATTGACGGTTCCGTCGCCAGAGAGGGAGGGTACTGACGAGCAGCAGACCCATAGGGGTTATACGCATCCCTAGTACCCTGATCTTGACCAGACATGCCGGAAGCGTTTTGGGGGACGTTGTATGGAGACCATGCCATCGTGATATGAGAACAGTGGCAGGGAAATGTTGGATAAGTAAATAGAAGCAAAGTAATCAACAGGGTCCAAGTGGCGATTTGGGTTTTATGAAGGAGATAAGGACATTATTTATATGCCCGGGATCCAACGGTGATATGTGATATACGGTGAAGGACTATGCACTTTGGAGTGTGGCTCTGCTGCACCTTATTACAAGCCACACAATATTCGGCCGGGTGAACTGATGGCACCGACCGAGGGGGACGCCAACAGGGCAGTGTAGTCATCGAGATTCAACCCTTTCTAATAGGTTCTAAGGCTTGTATCCAGGCCGGAAAATGTAGCAGAGTGGCGTAGCCTGTCATATTGGGGGAAAACAGAGAGAGAAAAACGAAGGGGTTACCTAAGTAAGTGGAATAATGGATGGAGGCTGGACCTCAGGATCTCTAGCCTTTCCCCAAATGGACTAGAGATCTCTCAGGCATCCATGGGAGATTCCCGGGGGATGCCGAATGAACACTGCCTGAACCTTGGAACACGTAAGCTGAACTCCAAGGTTCCTTGCAGCATCATATATCCAATCCGATGATTCCATGAGCTATCCTGTTTCATACTACTCTCCATTCCACCCTGATCGTCCGTGACAGAGATTTCTTCGAAGAATCTACCCAATATTCATCAACTGAGGGATTTCATTGCATTGTCGATCACTCAAACTCCCGGGTGACGGTCGAATTGACCTGATAATTTTGCCCAATACACCCTTGACGTGTCCATCCGGCCGGGGCAGGAAATACGCCGGCTTTATTGCGGGCCAACCATTTCAGATTATCGGTCTCTGCGACCTTATTTCTTGTTTTGCGTTTCGAGTTTCGAGTTTCGCGTTGACAGCCCTGTCAGTCATCTGACTATACTAATACCAGTATTTATCATGGATCTCTCTCTTTCAGATACAGGCCTTTTATTTTATAATATTCATCACAAGCAGAACTGTCACTACAGAAACGGACCCGTCGAAGTGCATAATAAAATGCGAGTTAACATTCAGAGCTGAGAGTTGGTAACTAGAGAAGAAAGCTATGTGATCTCTACAGCGAAATAAAACAAGAAAAAGAAAGTATTGGGTGTACGCTATCGCATAAACATATATCCAAAATTGTTCTCAGCAAGATCTTCTCAAATAAAAGAGGGCAATTGATTCAAAAATCTAAGCACAGGGGAAGAGAAAGTGAGAAGAGGTACAGGGTAGAATTGGTGGGGATAGTGATTTATGTGGGTCGTGATAGACCGAAGTCCGACCCACTCCTTAAGGCTATCTGGTCTTCACTGAGGGAGGTGTCACTATGGTGAGACCGACCCGAGCATAGCTGGCAGCAACGGCACATGCCTGCTACTGATTAACTAACTACATGGTAGCATCCACGCTGCGTTGACAATCGCCACCTGCGTGGTGGCAGCGAACATTTTTTCTGCTGACCACGTTCCCCCTTCCATATTTCTTACCAAGGTCCCAATGAAGGCGGCGGAGCAGGCCTTATGACTGGGTCTGGAACTCTAGCGTCCTCGGAAATCCGGACTTTGGTCGCAGAGAGTGGCAGATTATGGGTCTTCCCGGTTCCAGCGTCGACATCGACATTGGCCACCAAGTGATGGGAATCATGCATAAGAGAAGCGATGGACCGGTGGAAGTGGTTGACCAAGTCGAAAAGGAGACACAGCACATGCCGAGAAGTGCTAGGTGAAACGTCAGAACTGGCCTCTTTCTAGTAATATAGAGGAATATGGGTTCCAGCCATACTCACGGTTAAGGTCGCGCTCTCCGAGGCTATCGGGGTCACGGATAAGCGCGCGCCGTGCTAATTCCTGACAGGCTAAAGATTGCTAAGCGAAGCATCGGGGTGGGCTTCGATCAGTTCATTGTTAGTAAATCTGGCCTTCTTCTAGTACTGCCGAGGGAATTGGAGGTCCTGGTAAGGTCCATATGGAGTGGAGCTTGGAGCTTTTGTTCTTCCTCGGCTTTCTGCTGTATGTCTTTCAGATGAGTGAGTGGGGTTCTAGTTCTTGGAACTTGCGCCGTCACTAGCGGCACTCGACGATGACCTGATCCTTCGCGAACAGGGATTCCTCGAATCCCAGGACATACCCGCAAGTTCGTTATCCAGGGACTGAATCAATCATTGCATCTCGTGGCAATTTCAAAGGATTCCTCAGAATCACGAGGTCGTACATCTATACCACGTAGGCTTGACCGTTTGTATCGTCATGCAGACTGACGACGGTCAATATTATTCTCGAGGAATTTTCGCACAGCGCGTTTCAATCGTTCATAGCTATTCCAGCGATGCTTGGCAACGACCTCTTTGGCATCTTCCATATTGATTGATGGTGTCTACTGGAAGGTGAGCGGGCCGAATCCAGGTTCCACAAAAGGATCGACGAACAAATCTGCGATTGGTCAAAATCACCCTTCACTACTGATCCACCCGGCGCTTCGCTCCGCGGTAGGCTGCAGGACTCGAAGAACTGGGCCAAACAGCCCGTTTTCTATCCTTAGTTACTGGATGGAAAAGAAGATTTTGACAACCTCGACCCTACGTATATGGTGAGGGTAAGGGAGATTGTGCCATAATTGGTAGCACACGTTGCACGAGACTTGGCATTTCTCCACCAAGTCCACGAGATAAATGATAGACCATGGATTCTCGAACCCAAGCAGGTGTAGAAGTTGGAATGGTCTTGGTGGCGTGTGTCTTCGGATATTGTTGCGATCCCAGAATAGATGCACGGGGTCGTTCTTCTTGAGCTTGAACTTGTCCATATGACGTTCTACGTAACTCTCGATCAATATAGGGCTCAGCGAGTTTAACGCCAGGGCGGGACGAGTGAACCGGCCATTCTGGACATAATCAAGGGTGTGATGAACAATCTTCCGAAGACTGCCTTCCCGACTGAAGAAGTGGGGAAACTAGTTATAGAACTTGAATGTCCTTCGGGTCAAGCGTGTCACTATCCTTCATGGCCTTGATTTCCCGGCTCCCATTTGGAAGGTGACAGCAACAAGTATGTCGCTAGTATGACTGCGCATGGACGGTGGAGTAGGGATGGCATATACTTGAGCTGTAGTTGTTAAGTTATTGTTAGTTCAAGCAAAAGGCTAAAGAGCAAGTTCTTGCAGGACATACCATGGGTATACTTTGATGAGATATATAGATGAGAAATGAGAGAAGAATGAAAGAGAAGTGAGAAAAGAGACTAGGGGACTATGAAAAAACAAAATGAAAATGAACTGAGGGAAAGAAAGACAGGGATCGAGGCTCAAGAGAAACCTGCTAGCAGATGACCTGAAATGACTTGTATCGAATCTCGAGTTTCAATAGGTTGGGGATATAGTAGCGAAGTAAAAGGGGAGAAACCCGACAGGTTGAGATAGGCCAATGCCCATAGTATATAAGGTGGTGGTGGTGGTGGTATATAAGGTGGTGGTGGTGGTGGTGGTGGAGGAGGAGGAGGAGGAGAAGGAGGAGGAGGAGGGGGGAGATCACTCTTATATAAGGGCGTAATTCTATCGACCTGAGGCACCAACAAGATATCAGACCTGGAGATGTAAACCATTTTGCTGTGGGATCAGGGGTAAGGATTTGTTGAATAGCTCACTTATTATATGATTCAGTTAATAATTTATAGAGCTTCTACTTTCCCCTGGTTTGAGTATAAAGTCCACACGGTATATCTTCGAGATTGCTATCCCAAGAGCGGCAGTTGTGTGGTTCTAGGAAGAACCTCGACCATTGGAAAAGAGAGGCACGGAGATTTGGTCACCACCAACTCGAGTACAGCTCCTCATATAGTAGTGCTGTGAGTTTAGGGTATTCCATATCCTATGCTAGGTGCAAAGCAAGATATATGAGGGCTGTCGGATGCTCGTAGGCTAATATAACATAATATAAGAAGTGTTCCAAGTTTCTTTTTCTAAGAGTCAACCCTTCTAAGATGTCCACATGTACTTATATGAATGAGTCCAGTGACAAGGTGCCTGATAAAGAAGGCATCCAGGGATCAAACGGGATATAATTCTACGTATTTTTGTGGGATTAACTTTATTGTGCATGGAGGCTCAATATGCATCATAACTCATATGAAAACAGCAAAAAAGGGTAACTCCAACATAACCCAAGTGAGAGGCTTTGAGGCTGCAATGGCAAAGACCCGAATTAAACAGTATGCATTAACTTTTAAGAAGAATATGGTCTAAGGAGCATGGAGGATAGAAATTGACAAGGGGGTATCTAGAGGGGGAGGGGAATTAATTATGCCTCGATTTCAGGCTTCGAGTTATCCTTGCGCCGAGACTCGATAAGCTCCTGACGGGCACGCTCTTGCTCAGCAAGACCGGTCTTCTGGATAGTGTGATTGCGAGTCAGCTCACGAGGGCGGATAAACAAAGCGAGAACAAAACCAAGACAAGCGGTGGCGGTGTAAAAGATCCACATGCGGTTCAGGGCATGTGTATAGGCGCCAAAGACGACCTCGCGCTGGGAGGGAGTAAGGCTTTTGATGAGGGACTTAGAGGAGCCGCCAAAGGAAGCCATAACATTGGCAGCGGTTTCAGCGCCCAGGGAGGCGATGAGCTTGGCTGATTGTTGACTCATCATGTTTTGGTAAATGACGGTGCCTAGAACGACGGACATTGAAGTGGAAAGTTGACGGACGAAGCCGAAAGTGGCTGTTGCCGTGGCCATGTCGGCGGGACGGATGTTGGCCTGGAAGGCGACCAAAGGTGCCTGGAAGTTGGGACCAATACCGACACCGGCGATTAACTGGTAGATGATGATACGGGGCCATGAAGCGTAGGCCTTGAGGTCGATAAAAAGTCCGAATCCAAGGGCCATCAAGGACATACCGCCGATAATCAGCTCGCGGAAGCGGCCAGTCTTCTTCATAGTGATACCCGTGGCGGTAGAACCGAGTGCAAGAGATAGTACCAAAGGCAGGACATACACACCGCTCATGATGGGACTTGACTGGAGGACTGTTTGGAAGTAAAGTGGCAGATAGTAGGTAGCGGCAATGAAGGTAAATCCGTGGCAGAAACAAACGAGCAGGATGAGGACGTTGTACCACTCGTTGAACAGCCGCGGGGGAATGATAGGGAACTTAGCAACCTTCCATTCCAGGAACATTGCCAGAGCCCAAGTGAACACACCGAAGACAATCAGGCAGATGACAGTAGGTGAGGCCCAGGGGTAGTTGACACCTCCGAACTCCAACCCGAAGAGGAACATCAGGGTTCCACCGATGATCAAGAATGTTCCTGTCCAATCAATGCAGCGCAACCCTGCCCAGAATGGAGTCTTGGGCGATTCGATGTGAAGGAAGAGAACAAGGATAACAAGTGAGACACCTCCAACGGGAAGGTTGAGATAGAAACACCAGCGCCAAGACACATTTGTGGTGAAAGCTCCACCTATAACAGGACCAAGAGCGCCTGCGATGGCCCAGGTTGCACCGAAAATACCATAGTACATCGGACGATCTCTGTATAGAAGTTAGCCTTATTCCATCCCAGATCAAGAAGTCACCATACCTCAAACTGAAGAGATCCGATACACTAATATTAGCCAGGATGATGATACCGCCACCACCAATACCCTGGACCGCCCGACCAGCAATAATTGTAGCCATGTCATGCGCCAAAGCACAGATCAGACTGCCAACCAGGAAGACAACATTTGCCAAGACAATGATAGACTTTCTTCCCCAGATATCACTGATCTTGCCCCACAGGGGGATACAGGCGGCATTCGCCAGTAGATATGACGACGCGATCCATGAGAAACCGCTCTCGGAGGCACCAAACTGCGCGGCGATAGTAGGGAGGGCGGTGGAAATTATAGTCTACAAGAGATCAACGTTAGTAAAACCCGAAACAAGGGTGAATAAACGAGCACGTACCATATCCAAAGCCGCCAAGAATAGAGCCAACTAGAATGCGACCATTAGCGTTTCTGTACTTGCCGAACGCTTTCTCCGCACGCCGGAGAGTTTCTTACACATAGCGCTGTCATCACGACGATGATCTTATTCTTGCCCATCTTTGCCGCTTGTGAGGGTGCGTGGTCTAGAGGCGCACCCTCTGCTGACTTTTCCGTTGCATTCTCCGCATCGTTGGGTTGATCTGCCTCAGCTTCCTGTTCGGGGGTATCGATGCGTTTTTCCTCGTGGAGGGGATCGATCTCAGTATTACTGCTCGAGGTCTCCGGTTGCTGTCGCTCGCTCATCGTGAAGTGCTGGGGGAAATGGAAAGGAAGAAGAGTTTTCTAGAAAGAAATAGAGTTAAGGTCCTTCCGTCTAAGCCAATAAGATGTTTGCCAATCACGGGGATATGATTTTTTTATTTATCAGAATGGTAGAATCAGCATGATCAGTGATATATATGTTTTGAAGGGGTGAAGAGGTCGGATGTCGTATTTTCGGAATTACTTTAATCGAAATGGCGAAGCCGAAGTGGTTTGAGATGATCAGCCCTGAAGTGGGTCATCACGGAGTCGGTTCTAAACAAACTCCGAACACCGACCCCCGATTCGGTTTTTATAACCGAGACGAGTACTAGTTTTGCTCGGGTCGACTACCCTCGGAGATAAGGAGTTTAAAAAGTGAGAGAGTAAGAATGAGACAAGGGAACGAGTAACTGTCGGACCAAGTAAAAGATGAGTTATTCTTACTGTTAACTTCAAGTGATCATTTCTGTTGGTCTTGAACGATCGAAGGTATAATATAGTTAGTTAGTGTAAGGGCCAGAAGATACCTGCTGTAGACAAAGACAGAAATGCTAAAAGATCACTGGAAGAAAGTGAAGGTGTCAATTGGAGAAGCTCGCAGTCAACAACAACGTATATATGGGCGACCAAATATGCCATCCGACACATAACTCTCTCATTGGTTATTACCTCACCGCCTGGTTCATTACTGTTTTATTTGTATAATATATGTACACTTTATAGATTCAATTCAGATTCAATTCAGATTCAATTCAGATTCAATTCAGATTCAATTCAGATTCAATTCAGATTCAATTCAGATTCAGTTTAGATTCAGTTCAGATTTAATTCAGATTCAGTTCAGATTCAGTTCAGATTCAGTTCAGATTCAGTTTGTAAGATAGTAAGATAGTAAGAAATCAAGAGTCAAGTCTTAAGACTTAGGAGTATAAAGAGCCCGGTGTTAAAAAATTAATATCGTATTTGTAAACAATCTCCTATATATATATATGTTTGCTACAGACTAAGCCCTATTTGTTCGTTATTTACTATTTCTTAGCTTGTTTACTATAATCGAGCAGAGTTTAGATAGTTTTAGTAGGGTATATAACCCCCTACATTTCTAGTTTAATCAATTAATAATTCTTCCTCTGCTTTCTCCCCACATAGTAACAGGTTGCTCAACAGTATTCATTTATAAAAAATACTATATAAAGCAACTATAGATTCAACAATGGTACTTGTGAAGTGAGAGTGGATCGAGATTATTGCCTGGAAATATGAACCAATGAGAGAGTTATTTTATGCGGGGTAAAAGCGGCTAGATATGACGCTAAACCAAAACCCGTATAGCGTGCGTGGTATACATGTGGGCCGAAGCCCTATCATGAGCCCTAACTGCCTTTTTAGGATACTGTAATGGTTCTTTCACGCGCTGAAACGCGTGAACATAGTTTATCTGGCCATCCTTCTCCTTCATCTTCAACCTTCACTTACTCTCAACTCAGACCATCTACAGTGCATGGCTCATCTTCAGTCATGGCGTGCTTTGAAAGCCTTCCAATCGAGCTCTTACATCTCATTTTGTCGTTTCTTGTCCAACCCGAAGATGATCTCGACCCACTGAGTGGAGATCAAACCACGAAAGCCGAAGATGGCCATAAAAAGAAATTGGATGACGACGAATATGAAGATGACGAATATGACGGAATTGAGACTTTGTGCAATGTTTGCCTAGTTTCGCGGCAGTTCCGTGATGTCGCCCAACCTTTACTCTTCCGTGAGCTTTCTGATGATAGCATAGGGGGTAATCTAGCGCTAAGCATCCCATTCACCAAAACAATCTATCAACGCCCAGACCTCGGAAAACATGTTCATCAAATCACCATCCTGCCTTTCTCAATCTTCCCAGTTGGTCCCAATTCTCTAAAGGCAGCTGAATCTGAGTTCTTCAAAGGCATAATTAAGGACCTTCAATTGGCCGATGAGGAGGAAACATGGATTTCAGCTATGAACAACTGCGACATCAACATCTTCATAGCATTGCTAGCCAACAAGGCCCCCAATCTTCGCGGGATACATCTGCCAGTTCCCGAATTCTCAATCCAGCCATTCATCCAGCTTTTCCATCGCAATCCAGAATTTTTGTCGAACCTTGAGTCTGTCTGGATTGAAAGCGATGATGAGCTTTCCGGCTTCGATATTGCTTCCTACGAGAAATTCCTCACCCTTCCCAAGGTCAAGTTTTCGACCTTTGAGTTCGGTGATCTCTTCGACGCATCGTTTCCACCTACCTGGCTGCCTGGAACATTAGAGACCGAAGAACTCGCCTTCCACCACTGCCACATCGATGCTGGCGCTCTCAAAAAGTTAATGCAAGCCTGCAAGAAGCTTAAAACCTTTATCTACACAAATTTCAGTTTGTACCCTAAGGACAGACGACGCATGCGCTCGGGAACCGCCCCCGAGTTTAACGCCAAGGAGGCTCACGAAGCCGCCCTCCTACATAAGGACACCCTTGAGCTCTTCCTTCTCGAGTACGCAATGGAACTGCCGGGCGTTGACGATATCGAGCAACTCCTCCCCAGCCGCGCCAAGGTTGGCTCATTCCGTGATTTCTCCGCGCTCGAGAAAATCTTCATCCCACACGCTTGTCTTCCACCACACCCTCAATTCTCCAGTTCGCTAGAGACACTGCATATCACGGACTGTAAATCGTCTATCCGGGAGTTGACTCAGAACATCGCGACAGATTGTAAAAATGGTCTTTATCCGAAGTTGACTGATGTCAAGGTATTCGCAATCGACATCACACAGCCCATCAAGCTTCCTGGGCAACATGTCCCAGAAGGGAAAACGCCAGAGCAATGTTTCCTTGACCTGAAGGAGATGTTCAAAGGAACCGATGTGAATTTCCGGATCTTGCCGTATGCATTACCTGAGTTTAAGGATTACGGTAGTCTCGACGACGATTATGATGAAGAGTACGGCTATGATGAAGATTTCGGCTATGATGATGATTCCAGCTTTGAGGAAGATTTCATAACACCGTTCGAAGAACTCGCACTAGGAGCGGATCCCAGCATGAGTTCAATATCACCACATTTCCTTATGAGGCAGGCTATGATTGATCCTGAGCTTGCACAGCTTTATGCCGATGCGGATAGTGATGATGATTCTTGGGAAACTGAGGACAGCGATTGAGCCAATTTGTCTTGTTAATCCAGCTATTGATTTTTGTACAATAATACCCCTGTTCGACTATGTAAAATTTACCGCTTTACTTTGACAGACGAGTGTATGCTTTAATGGAGAAAATGGCTAATACTTTGATGATCTCAATGCATTCACATCCCAAGTATATCCATGACTCAATAACTCCCCGATGAACATGCAATGACCAGTGCCGTTCCCTGGCAATTCTATGACAAAAAACAAATGGGGGGTTGGGGGTATAATGAAGAGAGCGAGAGTGTAGACAGAACACCACAACTAGGAAGAAAATCGAGCAGAATAATACGTATGGTAATGTAGCAGAATGCTTTACTCCTGCAATAGAAGAATCTCTGTAAAAACAACCTCCCGTTAGCCACTAATTCCCAACAACCGCACACCAAACAACAAGACCTACCAGTCAAAGCTTCCTCAAAGCTCAGAGTAATATATCCATCCCGATCATCGTCATACCGCTTAAAGACATCCGTCATACGCTTCAGACTAATACAAGCCTGAACGAAAAGATCAAAGCTCATGCCAGTAAGCCTAGGATCCTTAGGCGTATTGCTCATCTGCTTTCCCTTGCTCTCAAAGACACCGAAGATAATAGAAATAAACTTCCCACTAAGACGATATCCGAACGCAACAAGCGCCTTCTCAAACTCCGGCTGACTAACACGCCCACTGCGGTCCTCATCAAAGCGATCGAACAGCTCCCGCCAGGCAGCCAGATACCGCCACAACGAGACAAATTCGTCGAAGCTGATTGTCCCGCTGCCGTCGCGGTCGAACATGCGGATCATAAGTCTGACCGTCCGCGGGTGGAAGGACGTGTAGTCGCCGTTCACGAGCGCGCTGCCAAGCTCGCCCTCAGTGAGGGCGCCGGAGTGGGATGAGTTCGCGGCGCGGAAGAGGGGGAAGAGCTGTTGAGGGTCATCGCTGGGTGCTGTCAATGGCGGTGGGACGGGCGATTGGGGAGGCCGCGATGAGGGCGGGGGTCTGTTGCGCTGGGGGTGCACTGGCGGGGGCCCGAAACCATAGTTTTGAGGTGGCGGGGAGGGGTGGAGGGGGTGAGGACGAGACTGAGACTGAGACTGGCTGAGAGGTTGGCTCGGTGGAGGCACGTTTGCTGAAGAAGAGCGGCCGCTGTAGGAGTGTGAATGGGAGTGGGAGTGGGGTTGGTGGGGTTCGAGACGTGGAGGCGCTGCGGCATAGGCGTGTTGCGGGGGAGCACTGGATACAGGAACGCGGGGAGGAACACCGCTGCTGTGGGTTGTCTGCGGTGGTGGGCGAGTAGGAAGCGGTTTTTGGTTGAGGCTCTGGGTGTGGCTTGGGGCGTGGCTCGGGGCGTGGCTTTGGCCTGATACACTCATGTTGCCTAACATCTGCGCAACCTAATTGACCGTTAACAAAAGGAGGATGAGGCGTGTGGCAAAATGTTGTACCTGTTCTGGCTCGGCGTGGCTATAGTATTTCCGATGTCAGTAATCTGTAACTGTAAACTCTCGCTAGATTGATTATGCACTTACGCTGGCAGCGCATCGGGGTTGTAGGACTTGTTGTAAGCCATGGTTGGAGCCCTGGGGGGGTGACGCAATCGAGAGAAAGAATGCGACACGGACTCTGATGAAGTGCAACAAAGGTATATCGTGAAATGGAAGAAGAAGGAAGAATAAAAAGGAGAGACAAGCTGAAAGCGGAGCCGTGGGGCATAAGATTCTTGGCACGCCAAGTAAGAAACCTTGTCGGAGCGACTTACGGAGTGCATATGTTGAACGCCTTTTTTTATAACCCAATTGAGATAGATCGGAGTATTCGTTGAAGGTTTATATATCATCCGATTTATATCTATCTCTTGTACGTGATAGAATAACCAGATATAACTACTTCAAAACAGCCTTTTCCTGAATTCAAGTTATTGATAATTCAGTGAATTAACGCCTATGAAGTATTACTATATTGCTCTATCTAACTAGCGCTTTATTATGACCAATACGAATACGAGAAGTGACTGAATGCTACCCACAAAACGTCGAATTCACCAATAGTACGGTTCATTGCATATGTGTACATATGTATGTAGTATTCGAGGGGCGACCGAATTTTGGGGGCGAAGTAGGAGGCTGAAACTGTGCCCAACTCCTGTTGGGCGAATGCCCCGCTAACACTAACACTAATAATCATCTTTCCACCATGCTCACTCAAAGACTCCAAAGACTCCAAACAGTCAATTATACCATTGCTCAGTGCAAAAGGATTCTTCCACTATGGCTGATCCTCTCTCTATCGCATCTGGAGTTGCCGGATTGCTGTCATTCGGTGTCCAAGTTACCAAATCTCTAGTCGATTTCTACTCCGCGTACAAGGATCAGACTCCTGCTCTCGCTAAGATGACACTGAATCTTGAGAACCTTCTCGGCATACTTCAGTCCCTCGATAGCGCACGACAAAATGGCCATCCTGAGACGGATGCCCTACTCCAAGAGATCGATAAGGCGGCAGTGGGATGCCGTGAGATTATTGAGGAACTCGGGGACGAGTGCCAAAAGTTCCAAAAGGATACCGCTCTAAGTTTGAAGGACCGAATCCAAGTTGCGGGACGCCGGGCGACTTATCCATTTAGGAAAAGTACTCTACAAAAGCTTGAAGAAGACATCGGCGAGATACGGGAAAATTTGTCTCTTGCATTAAACGTGCTACAAGTTAGAAACCAGACTGGTCTTGAAGATGGGATATCTGAACTCAAAATAATCGTCGAACGGACAAATACGATGCACATCTCTGCTACGATTCGTGGTTGGCTTATGGCCCCAGATGCGACCTTGAATCACAATGCCGCATGCGAGAAACGTCATAGCACTACAGGACTATGGCTCGTTAACGGCCAGAAATTTCAGAACTGGCTGGTGGAGCGCAATTCCTTTCTCTGGATCAATGGCTTCGCCGGATGTGGCAAGTCAGTCCTATGCTCGACGGCGATTGAACGTACATTCCGTGAAAGGCAGCATCGGCCTGGTGTAGGAATCGGATTTTTTTACTTTTCCTTTACCGACGAGTCTAAGAAAGATGCTTCCGGCATGTTACGTGCATTGTTATTGCAGCTGTCGGCTCAACTTGGAGGGGGCGAAAAAGATCTACAAGAACTGCATAAGTCGTATATGTCGGGTACTCCGCCGGTGGACGCCCTGCTTAACTCACTTCGTCAGACTGTCTCCAAGTTCAGCGACACCTACATTTTGTTGGACGCATTGGATGAGAGCCCGCGATACGATAAAAGAGAGGGCGTTTTAGGTGCCGTGAAGAAGATCCAGCAGTGGGACCTGCCCACTCTTCACCTCCTAGTGACTAGTCGTAACGAAATCGACATCCGCGATGCTCTGGAAACTCCCTTCTGCCAGGGTATCCCGATGAGAAATCCGGAGACGGATACAGACATCCAAAACTTCATTTTATACCAGCTCAGCAATGACCCCAAGCTCCAACAATGGAAAATGCGCCATGAAGAGATTGAATTGAAACTGACCAGTAAGGCGCAGGGAGTGTAAGTAATAGCAAAGAGAAATGGTACAAGAATTTGACTAACAATTGTACAGATTCAGATACGTCGAATGTCAACTCCTTGCGCTAAAACGTGTCCGGATCCGAAATCAGCTCGATAAATGTCTTCGTTCGTTGCCTCGCGATCTGGATGAGACATATGAGCGAATGCTGTGTAACATTGACGAGGAAGACATTGAAGAAGCGCGACTAGTATTAACTTTACTTTGTGTGTCTAATAAGCCACTCACTGTGAAGGAACTTACCGGCGCCCTTGCTATTGATGTCAAAGCCAGCGAGTGGCAGTTGGATCGTGAGGGTCGATCATTTACCCAAGATGATCTTCTCGACATTTGCCTTGGTCTTATAGAGCTCGCAGTGATTGAAGACGAGGACTCTGGAGAGGCAACTACGATTGCTCGTATAGCGCACTTTTCTGTACAGGAGTACCTTGAATCAGACCGGATTTTCCAACAAGGTGCAGCAAAATTCAGGATTCAAAAAGAACAGGCACACATAGAGATGGCTCAACTTTGCCTAGTTTACCTCCTGGACCCAACGCTCTCGAATGGAGAATTGGATGAAGGAAAGCTGGAAATTTTCCCTTTTGCTCACTTTGCTGCTGGTCATTGGTTTTTCTTTTACAACAATTCCGGGAAACAGAAGTTCAATATTGAAGACCTAATTTTAAGGCTATTTAAGGACCAGAGAGAGTCATTTCTGACTTGGATACGGTTGTGTGATGTGGATTCTTCCGAAGAGAATCCCGGAATCAACTTTACGCTTGATATCGAAGATATCCCGTCGCCTTTATATTACGCAGTTCTTTTGGGATTTGAGCACATCCTAAGTGTCCTTATAGCGAGCTTTGGGGAGGAGACCGAAATAACTACCGCCATCAATAACCAGGCTGGACTCTTTGGAAATGCGCTCCAGGTTGCATCATCCGGTTTAACGGCCCCCGGCCTTCGGAGACAATGCTATGAAAAGGTGGTGCATGAGAGGATGGTACAGATTTTACTGTATCATGGTGCCGACGTCAATATTCAAGGGGGTATTTTGGCACCGCGCTCCAGGCCGCATCATACGAAGGCCATGAGAATTTAGTACAGATCCTGCTAGATCATGGTGCCGATGTCAATGCTCTAGGGGGTGATAGATATGGCACCGCGCTCCAGGCCGCATCATACGAAGGCCATAGGAATATAGTGCAGACCCTGCTATATCATGGTGCTGATATCAATGATTTAGGGGGTTATAGATATGGCACCGCGCTCCAGGCCGCATCATACGAAGGCCATGAGAACTTAGTGCAGACCCTGCTAGATCATGGTGCCGATGTCAATGATCCAGGGGGCAATGCTCCAGGGGGTATATATGGCACCGCGCTCCAGGCCGCATCATACGAAGGCCATGAGAATTTAGTGCAGACCCTACTAGATCATGGTGCCGATGTCAATGCTCTAGGGGGTATATATGGCACCGCGCTCCAGTCCGCATCATACGAAGGCCATGAGAATCTAGTGCAGACCCTACTAGACCATGGCGCCGATGTCAATGCCCCAGGGAGAATATATGGCAACGCGCTCCAGATCGCATCATCCAAAGGCCATGAGAATCTAGTGCAGACCCTACTAGATCATGGTGCCGATATCAATGCTCCAGGGTATGAGATATTTGGCACCGCGCTCCAGGCAGCAGCATACGAAGGCCATGAGAACTTAGTGCAGACCCTGCTAGATCATGGTGCCGATGTCAATGCTCTAGGGGTTGTACAAAGCACCGCGCTCCAGTCCGCATCATACAAAGGCTATGAGGATTTAGCGCAGACCCTGCTAGATCATGGTGCCGATGTCAATGCTCCAGGGGGGTATATATGGCACCGCGCTCCAGGCCGCATCGTCTGAAGGCCGTGAGAATCTAGTGCAGACCCTACTAGATCATGGTGCCGATATCAATGCTCCGGGGAGTCTATACGGCACCGCGCTCCAGGTCGCATCATCTAAAGGCCATGAGAATCTAGTGCAGATCCTACTAGATCATGGTGCTGAACATGAACAATTACCAATTATTATCTGAATCGCGAATGACAAAGTTGGTAGCGATTTTGGACTATTTGGGTATCTTTGCATCATCGCACTACGCCCCTAGTGTGTCAACATGGCCTCATAACCAATTACATAAAACGTTTGCCATCGAAGGTTTCTAATTCATCGCCGTCTGACTTGAGTAGTTGATGCCCTAACACCTCAAGCCGAATTGGCTAAAGTTGTTGCGAATATTGATGATCAAATTCTGGCCAACTTTCTGTATGCATGTATAGTCTACGGTGGGCTGAGTGCAGGGCTTCTTTTTTCCATTAACTGTAAGCGCTATGTATATCATACTTTTTACAAAGCAAGGATTTACAGCCCATGACCACCTATACCTGACGATGACTGGCGGGGTGCAATGTATGTTGCATATTGTACAAATCAAAAGTATGAGTTAAAAGGAGTTTCACAGTAATCACACATTAATATTCACAGGGGTATCTTCAATGAGGCGAGAACGCTTGATTTTCTGCAAAGATGCGCTAGGCGCATGTACAAACCACTTTTTGGTCGAGCCTTGTTGGCCCGCCAGTATCATAAACATCTAGTTAAACGCCCTGGTACAGGCCACGAGAGATAAGGGACATCTCGGGCGCTTCCTCCTCCAGCACGGCGATGATCTCTTCCCAAGCCTTTTCCCGGAGCTCCTCTCCCTCCAGACCAGTCGTTAGCGCAGTTGACTCGCTATATAATAATTAGCAATGGTAACACCGAAACGTGGTGAAAGATTGTCTTACTCAAGATATCCCTCACTGCGCCAGCATTTTCCCTGTGATTCAATCCCGAGGAGAGTCGCGCTAACCAGTGAACGGCTCCCCTGCTCGGTAGTGCGCGCGAACAATTTGTGCATAACCCAAACGAAACACTTCTCCCACCAATGAGTGTACTGGCGACCCAAAGCCGAGATGCACAGCCCGGGGCTGACGGTATTAACAATGAGGGTATGAGAATTATCGTCGTCGCGCACCATATTGGCGATATTCTTAATCACGATTTCAAGCAGAAGCTTCGAAATGCCATATTGCTTGGGACCCTTGAAGTTGGCTGGGTCGTTCACGTGAGAAAGTAGCGAGTCATCGGTCCGGACGCTTTCAGCCTTGACGCGAACAAATTGTTGACTTGAAACGACGGTCAGGTGGGCGGGGTTTTCGGGATAGGAGCTTTTTTTTAGCTTGGGAAGTAGAAGTAGGGCCAACATCGAGGTCGATAGAGTGTTGACTTGTAGAGTCTCTTCCCAGCCCTCGGGGGATTGATTGTATTCTCGATTCCAAAGACCGGCGTTAAGTAAAGCGATATCGACGCGGTCAAGCTCGCGATTGACGCGTTCCGCGAAGCCTTTGACGCTTTGGAAGCTGTTCATCTCGAGTTCCCATACTTTGATCACGTTGCGGCGGTTAGTGGCCTTTTCGAGGTCGGCTTTGGCCTTGTTGCCGTTTTCCACATTGCGAGATCCGATGATGAGAGATTCGACGCCGAGATTGAGGATTTTGATGGCAGCTTCGAAGCCAAGACCTGAAGTAGCACCTGTCAAAATGACGATCTTGCCAGCGAAGGACACGCTTTTGGGATCGACGGGAGGGGTGTATTGCATCTTAAGGAGACGAAGTAGGGCCGCCATGATGAAAATCTTGATTCGAAAGCTTCAAAAAAGAAATTCAAAGAAGCAAAATACCAAGGGTCCGAGGCACGTCTGATGGTTGTTTGCGGGAGAAAAAGAGGCCGATAACACCATGTCGATAAACGATAATGACAATAAGAGATACGGATAAGATAAGGGATACAGATATGATAAGGATGGCATACGATAAGGATGGCGGTGAAGACCAGAATGTAGACAAAGGCGGAATCCATATTGTCGGTTGATGAATAAGGAAAAGTCACCGGTTTAGTATGATAATTTTCATGATGCGCTGCCACTTCTTGGCTTTCCCTATTTGGCTTAGAGCACTCACGTTCCAAATCCGATAGTGCCGCTCATTACTTCGTCATCCTACTTACTCTCCTTGTCTTTTATTTCCTCCAGGGCTGTCTCCTATACGGTTTATCTTTTACCCCTGCAATATTTTATCCCTGCAAAATGCCGACCCAACCCTCAAAATCCGATGAGCCTCTTAATTATTCAGAAACATGTCTACTTTGTGGTATACACATTTTGCCGTTGGACGGGGGAACAATAAGCAAAGATCACCTGGATTTGCTTAAGGAGTCTCAATGGGAAATCCATCGTAAATTCCCGATTCCTGAGCATATTCTCGTGCCATCGACCGAAGTGGAGAATAAAAGTTTCTCCAAATTTCCTTGGTTATCATCTTGCTATCAGCGAGGGGGTAAGTTGACATTCTCATAGAAACATTTAAATTTCAAGCTAAAAGTATAGTAAATCCAAGCTATCAGATATGCTTCTTCCTCAAAATATGATCTCACGGGAATTGGCCCAGTTGCACGTCTCGGTGGTCAGCCATACCAGCTTCCAAGAGATAAAAACACCGCACGAATTTCTGGACGAGAGGCGATACCACAGTATGATAATACAATATTCACGCATTTTCATCCAGGGGGTCACTGGATGCATCCAAGCCTTTATAAACACAAAAATATGGGATATGTGTTTCACTATTATTGTTGGGAGATCCTTGGCCATCTGGTAGGGAAAGATTTGATCGAGAAGACACTTGATCAAGTTGTTGAGGCCGCGAGGAAGTATTGGAAAACCCATAAAGGATGGGGTGTTACTGACCTAGATACCTTATTTCGTGCCCAGCTCGATGGGGTTCCATACGTGAGATGTGAGAGCTACTTTTACGGCTGTGATATCTATATCAATCCATGGATTATACCCGAGCTTCAAAGTACAATCCAACTTGCCCAAAATATGGTTGGAAAACGCAAAAGCTCCTATCTTAATAGACTTCCACTCGAAATCTCCCTTCTAGTGGCGGAAATCATTTGCCCTATCATCTACACTCAATCCGATGTGCAGGATATACGTAATATGTTATCCGTGTTTGCATTGAATTTACCAGATGCCTTTTGGAGAAGCCGATTACAATCCAAACGTGATTTGTTCTTCGAGGTGGAATTGCTAGAGACTGATTCAGTGGACTGGCAGCTCTTGTGGCTAGGGTTGATGGGCCTTCTTTGCGATAAATGGTATAACTCCAGTGGGTTGGCACACCGCGAGCGATTACTTGGACCAATTAGGGGGATCATCGCAAATTTTCATCGACAGAGACATTTTGCTGGGAGATAGTATCACAGGTTCCCTCGTTCTTTCTTGCTTTATGACATATCGAGCTATGGCACTTTAACATTCTAATGAATCCATTTAACCAACGATGCTAAAAGTCCACATCCTTCCTCGAATTCCTCAGAGCTCGTACACTGCAATGTGTTCGTCTTGATTTAGTTCATCATTCTCTAAGTCTCTGCAATTTCTTTAATTGGGTGGTCCTTTCTATCGAATTTATTGACTGCAGCTCCACTAGCGAGGGGAGAATCGTCCACTGATAATGCTGATGATGTTCGTGCGAAGATACATTTCCCAGACCATCGCTCTTCTGCGAGACATGCAATGTAATCTCCAAGGCCGCAATAAGTAAAGCGACTGCAATGAAAATCACGCCCCGGGCAATGAAACCAGGAAATGGTGCCCAAGCCGGCTTCTGGCTCTCTTGGTTGTCGAGGCTTTTGCTATCATTACCTTCTGTCTTGATCAAGAAGCCCTTAGGCGTAAGTTGCGAATAGTAGTGCCGGCCTTCCAGACTATCATGAAGCGCATATGATTGTGCCGTACCGGTCCCGCGAAGCGATTGACCAATTGCGTTACTTTTTGCCATGATGGTGGCAACATCTGAAATGGAAGTCGGGTTCCAAGGTGCGATAGTCGTGCGAGGCCCCAGAAAGATCATGGAAACGGCTAGCAAGATCTCGAGTATCAGGCAAACCTCCATGACACGAAGTGAGAGCTGTGTCATGACAATTCGATTTTCATTGACAATAGCGCGGCCGACAGCTGTTGACTGGTTTCGCTGTGTCAATCCCTTGTTCATAAGCTGGGCAGTCATCGCGCTATAGTAGGAAGAAGCCGCGTCGTTAAGTGCGCCATTTTCAAAGAGCTTGTCGATATTGCCAGTGATGCCTGCAAGTTGCGCGCCAAGTTGCAAGGCAACATCGACATATGTCTTATTTTGGAATAGATCATCGGTGGCATGGAACAGGTTGTGGTTATTATTCGGTCTCGCGAATGAGTTGTGGGAAGAAGAATCCGAAAGGACAGCCTTCGCAATATCCCACGCGGTCAGATTTGGCAGGACAGAACGTTGGGATCCGATTCTTCTCAGATTAACGGGTGACGAGGATTGGCTGGTATTGGTTTCAGCTTGTAGTTTTACAAGCGAGTATGTCGGATTGCAGATCAACTGAACCGAGCGATGAATTATCACCTCTGCCGTTGTGACGTTTTCGGTTAACGTGGATATATTCTGAGCCAGCCTGCCCAGACTGATCTCAGCCAAAGTAACCACGATCCGCATACCATCCTCGGCACTTGAACCGTCACATTGAGCAGAAGCGAACCTCGCGACGTAGGGGTTTATACCACCCGACGTGGAATTGAGAGCCACGTCAGAGATTGTGCACGATGGAGTCATCAATTTAATAGATTCCCGTGTGCTTGAATGGTGGCCGTGGCCAGCTACATTCGTCACATCCCACTTCTTTATGTCGATGCTGGCAGTTTCACAGCCCAAATCTGCCATCATACCATCCACAGGTACAGTAAGCATGGCATTTGGAGCAAGGCTTGGGGCTGAAAATCGTTGGAAGGCAAGGTGTTCATTGGTACCTCCGGGATAAGTTCCGTTCTCGAACAGGATGCGATTGAGGATATCGAATGCTTGGGCTCCGGGAGCATTGAAAGTGAGGTCCTTTGCGCTGAAGATATACGAGAGTTGAATTGGGACCGATGATAGACGCACTTGAGCCGTTTGCAATGAAAAGAGAGCTGTCGAGAAAATGACCATGAGACGCAGAAGCATAGAACAGATAACTCCAGCTGCCACATCAAAGTGCTTGTTTCTTATGGCTTTGGTCATCGACACCAGCTGTATCTCGGATACATAGTCCAAGAGAATGGATTCCCTGGCCTCCACGGGTTTCTCAGCCATCGACTTCCATGGCGCTCTTTGCTTCACTTGAAATTCAACACGCGACCAGAAAGCAACGATAACAGTGAATATGGCAGTGGGTCCGTAGGTCCAGAGATAGTGGTGGCTTTCGTTTGAAGAGGCAATTCCACCGTGAACTTGGGAGACATGGTTGAGTGCTTCAAGAGCTGCTATGACTGCACAGAATACGGTCACGAATATGATCAACACCCGTGGCCGAAGGTAGGAGGGCTGCCACCCAGATATCCTGTGTTCAGTCTGTTGCGATTGAGATGAAGCATCCCCACGTTTGAAACTCAGATTAAGCATCTTGCTCAGAGATATAATTTTGATCAACACGGCGCCTTTGCGGAAAAGAGGAAAATAGAGAGGATTTATACACCAGGGAGTCCTGGCGACAGGATCAATTGGCTTATGTAGCCATCAAAATATTTTAGAGCCCATACCAGTCCAATAACACGAGGACTTGGAGGTCTCAGGCTCAAACACGTTGGCTCCCAGGGGTGTTTGGAAGCTGAACACATGCTACCATGCTATGATGCATCAAAGAGCAAAGTTGACAAGCTGAGCGGCAACAAGCAGCTGTCGAGTGTCGTCAAGTTAGTATTAAGCTGGACCTAGACTTCATCACTCGATCCAAAAGAATATGCATCTGTATCCTTCATTTCTACCATATGACGCTTGCACTTGTCCCTTCCGTTGAAAGGAAGTTGAAAGGAAGTTCGATAAGACATTTTCAAGACAGGAGCCAACGTCTCAGTTGAATAGGATCACACATTACCAGGCGCGTTCTGTTCGGGTCATGAATGTGAATATATTGATTCATTCTATGTATAGACCATCTCAGGGCTTGTCCATCCTATGTTGTACATTGGAAGTGTTGGGATGTCTCATCCAGCGGGCAGATGGCGGGATGCCCAAGAACAAACAATGCAAACAACATGTGTATAATCGATTTTTGGCCACTTCAACATTTCGTACGTTCATACAATTGTGATCGAATTCAATTTATAACAGCTTCCCATCTTTAGCAAACAGTTTGAGTCCTGAAAGTCCTCTGAAGTTGACGCGCTGCTCCCCGCATATACTAAGGGCCCGTCGCCAGAGCGAATTATTAATCCATCCCCTCCCCGGATCTCGGGAAGGTTGAAAAGTGCAGCCAATAAACTCATTGGAACGCATTTGGTATTGGGTATAGTTGATATGGCTGCCGTTGCGCAAGGACATCAGGTCCATCCAGACGGTCGGACGTGGAAGAGTCATTTCCCCAAGGGTGATCTTTGGGTATTTGGTTATGGGTGAGTTAACTTATAGTTCTGAATGGAATAAGGAATACTGATTATTTTGTAGGAGTTTGATTTGGAAACCGCCTCCACACTACGGTACGTGAGACTTGCCATATGAAAAATTGCTCAATGGCAGCACTAAACGAGACATCGTATTGGTCGTTTGCGATCAGGGAATCAATCGACTAACACTATGCTGTCTAGACCAACGCGTACCAGGCTATATTAATGGCTATGTGCGACGTTTCTGGCAGGTTCGTGGACCCCTGAACTGAAGAGAGGGCTCTATATTTGCCCACATTCAACATAACCAGACTGACATTGTGGTTATTGTCCATGAATTATAGGCTAGGTATGTTGTCAATGTGTGCAACAAACAGACATTATCATTCCAATCTGTCGAGAATTACAAATCACTAACATGCTCCCCAAGTACCGATCACCGCGGCACCCCCGAGCAGCCGGGCCGAGTAGTCACCGTGATCGAGCGGACCTTCTGGGAGACCTTAAACGACCCGGTAACTATGTCCCCTCTCCGCCCCATTATCTAACACAGCCAAATTAACATATACCTCTAGCTCGCCAACCTAGAATCCGAAGCATCTACCACAGGCAAAGTCTGGGGCGCGGCATACCACATCCCAGCCTCCCACGCCGAGGAAGTCCACGACTACCTCGATGAGCGGGAAATCGACGGGTACAGCGCGCACTACACGCCCTTCCACCCAACAGTAGATACCGAAGGAGTCGCCGGCTCGACCGGGTCCTCTCCAATCATCTGCATGCTCTACGTCGGCCAGCCGACTAACCCGCAGTTCCTGCGTGACCCAGCTGATCGCGAGCCGCAGAATGTGGCGCAGGTCATTAGTGCTGGGCACGGGTTGAGTGGGAAGGGTTCTGAGTATTTGTTCTTGTTGGAGAAGGCTCTTGAGGGACTTGGGCTTGCGACTGCCGATGTTCATGTTACTGATTTGGTTAAGAGGGTTAAGGGTATTGAGGCCGAGGGAGTTGCGGAGGCTGAGGAGGAGGAGGCGGAATTGAAGGTTACTAAGTCTTTGGAGAGATCGGTTGAAGAGTCTGATCGTGAGAATGGTCGAGCGTCGATTGAATGAGATGTGTGGGCTGAGGCTATGTTGATGACTTTGATGTTTTATGCTGGCACATTATAGGCGACGCATTTGCGTTGTAGAACTTATAGATCGCGAAACAGGAGATTAAACAGATGGTGGTAACACTACAATAAGCCCACATAATTTGTTTACTGTCCAGCTAATTATGCGAATATACTGTTCCCATATCATGGAGTGTATGTGCTCAAAAACTCTGGTTTTGTCCAATCTTGTTATAGAGTACATTGGATACATCCCTCAGACTATTCCTAATGCCAGCCTGGGCGGGAATGCCTTTCTATGAAGTAAGGATGCCCAACGGGAATTTTGCCTCGCATAAGTGTAATTGTCGCCCAAAATAATAGAACATTTAGGTAGAAGCGACAGGCGCTGCCTGATTTCCCCCCCTAAAAAAAAAAACCTCGTGGTTGTGGTACATGGTTCGGTTCGTCACCCGTAGCCCTTGGGATGGACTCAGATTATGCTTAAATATCCATCAAATCACTGGTCTTCCACTGTGTGCCCTGTTATAGGAAGGATATGCCGTGAAACGCAAACAGGCATTGCAGATGTGAAACCACATAGGTCTGTCTGCCAAAAAGAAACATGACCTCAAAAATTTGTTAGGCGAGATAGGTCGAAAATCGAAACGCAATCGCATAGAAGCTCAAATCTGCAATCGATAAAGCCAAAGCCCGAGCCAGAAAACCCATATTCCCTTCCTAACAAGTCGAGCGTAAAGAAAATAACAATCCCGCGTTAATGAATTCAAAACTAGGGTATCACTCCGCTATTCCCGAATTCATCTTCCCCCATATTCCAGTCGTAGATCATCATCTCTTTTAGATGGAATTTCCGAAGAAGAAAGGCGCATAGAGAGGAAATGAAAAGACATCATCTAATGGTGACCGTCTTGAGGAGCGTGCTCGTGGCTGTTCCCGCGCCAGCCTTTTGGATGTTAGTTAATGTCGCCATCGAGAGAACAGAATGAATAGCTCACCTCCGCCACCGCCATATCCGGTATTTGGGCCACCACCTATGGAATTAATTAGCAAAGACAACAAGAGAATACCCCAAAGAAATAAAACTAACCATAACCGCCGGGACCTCCCGCGCCGTAACCAGCGGGACCGGTAGGGGCATAGTTGTAACCACCACGGTTGTAGCCCCCGCCGTATCCACCAGCGGCGCCGTTGTTGTACCCGGCATTGTGGTAGCCACCGTAGCCACCTGCACCACCTGCACCTGCACCTGCACTTGGGTAACTGGACTGGGGCTGGGAATTGTATCCACCACGGCCCTGGAAGCCACCTTCAGGGCGTTGGGGGCGGTCGAACGCCTTGTCAACGCGAATGACTCGTCCGTCGAATCTGAACAACATATATGAGATTTCCCCTGGACACAAGATGAATGTGAGGTTGATAGATTACTCTTGGTTGTTCATGGCCTCCAAAGCAACATCCGCCTCGGCGTCAGTAGCAAATCGGACAAAGCCGAAGCCGCGACTACGCAAAGTCGCACGGTCCTTCACGACAATCTGTAGCCGGGTAGAGTCAGGAGAAAAGCTCAATAAATATGAAATGTATGTTGGTCATGGTAGACTGACGGCTTCTTGGATCTGGCCAAATTGCTTGAAACCATCGCGCAAGGTGTCATCGCTAGTATGCCAAGAAAGGCCGCTAAATTCCCATCGCAGCAACGGTTAGTCTCTCCCTACTAGCACAAGTATGTTCTTTAGATGGAAAATACATACTGAACAAAGAGCTTAGACATGGTGATAAAGACCTCTAATAAAGGAAGCTGAAAGAATGACAACTCTTGAGCTGACTTTGGTCCAAGGAGAAGATGAGGGTTGAAGAAAGAGAGATGATCGAAAAGAAAGAAGGAAAGATAAAAATCGGAATCCGTCCGGGCTGTGAGATGACAGGGAGATCCTAGTGGTTAAGAGGCGAGTCAGCATCCAGTCCCGTGTAACAATCACAACTGCGTTAGGGCTTCCACTTTGCCGGGAATTTTCCACTGGACAACGGCAAGTCCACAACGAGAAATATCTATTAATACTTACTGTGTCTTTGTCTAGCTTAACCACAGCGAGAGAAAAGTCCAGACTTAACCTCAAGAGTATTCCGAAGTGGGGGGAGGGGGAGGGGAGAGAGGAGAGGGGGGATACTGTAAAGGTAAACAACGCCAAAGCCAAGTGCCAAAGCCAAGTACCACGGGCCTAAACCTTGAGCTGATTGAATTGCGGGTCAGTCTTCTCAGTGATCAATCAGACGGTATCCGAGACTCCGTTTGGATTGGCACTAAGGACAACGGCTGATGTACCTTTGTTGGCCCCTCACTTTGAAAATGCAAAAAGGTTTCTACGTTAGCTGTTAGCTTTCATAGGGCTAGCCTAATGCCTGGATTCTAAAGATTATGTTGCGAAACCCTATACGTATACGAAGTACAGCATAAACCCGTCCTTTTCTTATTCATGGGGGCCCGGATATAAATCCCTTCGTGAAAGCAACACACCTGGCACTATCTTGGGTGGATCTCCATGCGTGGACTGTGGACTGTGGAATTTGGGTCGACCCCCGTACCTCGCAGGTCTATGCATGATTGGTTGTATGCCTGTTTATGCATTGTGGATTTTTCTCCTCATTTGGTTGAGAATTGACTACTAACAGCTAAGAATAATCTAACAATTGCAGACTGAGATCTACATTCGATTACTGCCATGGGTCTAGCCTCTTCGGCCTGGCCATCATCACAGTGGCCTCGTATATACTATTGTGTATACTACTACTCCTAGTAGTATTGTATTCGAGCAGAGGGTACAGAGGGGCAGTGCTCCGTAGGCCCACATGCGGCTTGGTCCGTGGGCCGTGTGCTCCGTGTGCTCCATATGCCGGGGAGAGATCCCGGGAAATGGGGGATCAGCCAAAGTGTGTCTATACAATATTGACATCTCCAGTTGATGGGTATGTATGGGGGAATAGAAAAACCTTTGAGTAAAAGCAAATCATAGATGACTCAAGGACTCAAAGACTGTTCTCATGTAAGCACTGAGAGAGAGACACAGAGAGAGCGCACATCAAAAGATGCAAATATTAGGAATTGATGGAAAATGGAGAAAAAATAAAAACAGAGCCGGACGAAGTTGAGATGATCGCGCTTTCCTCAGCGGTGACTGGATTTGTGTGCTTTCATATCACCTCCCGAGGTCACTCTGTCATAGTCGCCCTCTCAAGTCTACATTTGCATTTCTGCACATACAACCCAGTCTCACAGTTCTAACTTTAGAAGTCTTTATGGAGAGCAATAATCCAATTTATCAGTGGCTTTCTACTGTGGAGGACCAGGAACAAAGTCACCATCAAGATGAAGGCATGTTCTTGTCGCAAGAAACATGAAGCTTCTCGCTGACAGAGCTTTAGCTGAGAACCAGGCACAGATGAAGGATACAGTTCTTGCAACGCGCATACCACGAATCCGCATCCCACTTGAGATATCCGACAGATTGCCTGGAAATGGACATTCGGCTAGCAGGAAGAGAGCTTCGAGTCACCTTGAAGAAACAAAAGCACTGCCCACTCACGAGACCATACCAGGAAATGAGAGTCACAAGAAATCTCGACAGAGTTATGAGTTAAAACCCAGACGTAAGACTCGCGAGGATCACTATAACTACAAAGGCCCATCGTCGGCTGTGGAGACACAGTCGCAGTCTCGCAAAGGAAGAACCAAGAAACCACGGGGCAGGAGGCACACCATGAATGATGACTTCCACGCCATCAATATCACAGGAAACAGATTGACAGTAAGCAGGCTTCTGCTCAGTATCGCTGGATGTTACTTACTCCAAATAGCTGCGCAGCAACACGAACCTGGGTATCTTCAACAAGGGACGATCTTCCTCTAAAATGAATCACCACGGAAATACCCCGTCAGCTCCTGCAAAACCTACAGCAACCACCAACTCACATAATCATGGCGCAGAATCTGATCTAGCCTTTTCTGATATGAACTTTCTGTCCCGGAAGAATAATCTCAGCCCGTATCCCACATCGGCCGCCAGGGACACTCTGGATGGACAGTACGAAGAGTACCATCCACAAGCGCTGCAGTTCGATGATGCTGGAAATGACACCAGACTCGACATGTCTCACTCAAACAACAAGTTGCTTGGTGTGAAACGCCAACTTGGCGCCTCACTCACACCGTTGTTCAAGTTTGATAAGGCGCCCGCCAGCGAGGTTTCCGCAGTTTGCAGCCACTCTCATAGTGCTTCCCCCGTGTCCCACAGTAAACGGAGGAAGATAACAAAGAAATCATCGTCTATTCCTTACACTTGGACGGGAACTGAGGTCGACGCCACTGAACAAAGCGATGCCCTCGAACAACACCTGCTGAACCTGCTGCATGTCGGAGTATATCCCCAAGCGCTATGCTCTGAGATCACAAACACCGTTTTAGCCAGGTACTGGAGTCTCGCTGAATTATGGGAACTGCTGGAGGAGAGAAAGGCAGCATGGTCACACGAAGCCGGCAACAAAAAGCGAGCTTCGCCCGAAGCTAACATGAGGCAGCCAGCTGCAGCCGAAGCCGCTCCACAGGAAGTTTCCGAGACCATTGCACCAGACCATTTGGATATTGTCAATGCCAGTAGTGTGCAAAATGAAATATCCAAACAATCCCCTGATTCGAACATCGCTTGTGAAACTGCTCGCAGTGTGAACGACGATCGCGAACAACCTTTCGTCCTCGAGCAACAGCCAGACGGACCACTTCAAGCTTCAGCTGAACTGGGCTGTGTAAATTCTGAGGCTGTCAGGACATCAAACAGCCCAGATCGTTTCATAGACGTCTTGAACGAAGATCAGTGTGAGCCTTGCCCCCCGGAATCGGCAGAGAATGCAGTCCTTTTTCCTGCAGCCGTACTAGACGTCAAACAACCCCATATGTCTGACACCGAGTTCTACGAGCTGGGTCGACTCGATGATGATGATGTGTTCTATCGCACACTGGATACTGCTTACCGTGCCATTGTGTGCCCTGAAGCTGGGGCGGAAGTTGCATCAGACTTGCAGCAGTTAATTGAATCCCCCGAACTCAATGGAATTGAACTTCCGGATAGTCCAGAGTCCGACATTCATACCCGACAGGCAGAGGCGGGGGACCCAGAGCATTTGGCAACGGTCTCCCGAGACATCATACAAGACCGGTGTGATGAAAGACCATATGAGCCTTCTTTCCAACACGAACTACCCACGAGTCATTCGAACGATCCTTGTGTTGGACAGAATAATGGTTTGCCATGGCTGGCTGCTGGATACGGCCAGTCACAACCGCGCGCGTCAACTGGAATCGGTACGCGACAGAGTCAGCCTCCAGGGTTATCTGATTTCTGGCGACAGAACAAACTCTATTGATCTTCATCGGCAACGTGAGTATTAAATTGGACAGTCAAAAGCGTCAATAGAAAACTTGATCACATTTGCATCAATCATCAACCATATCAAAACAAAGCATCGCCAGCTCCATGTACATACCTAGTTAGCTTGAATTCAGCTGTCAATAGAGATTCTAAGTATCTTGAAATGGTGTGCATGAGGGCAACCTCCCCCCTTGGAAGTCGTATGATCAGGCCAGAGCCAGTAGCAATGATTGGGTTAATTCATCCGATTGACTTGACACATTATATCTAGATCAAAGTCCCCTAACATTTCAGCCACCAAATAGAACATGCAAGTCAGTAATGGTTTAGACGGCACACTGTTGCGCTGATTTATCGATCTTGATGAGGGTTAAATTCATTGGGTATATAACAGTCTTGGACAGGGAAATTAAACACATCATCAGATGGCTCAAATCCAAATACCTGTCTCTATTCAAGCTATGGAGCTGACCTATCCACATATGCCGCCGTTGGACGAAGAACAATTGTGAACCACGGTGATCGAAGTCCAGGGGAAAACAATACTGGATTCGATACCAGGTCCCCGCGCAACGCCAGATACAACCAGCGCAAGAATTATTCGGAATTTGAATTCGATGAGGCAATCTTGTAGCTTTTGGGTCGTGGATATATTGCGGAGTCCACGAAAATAAGTCGGGTCGGTCTTGTATAGGGATTCGAGCGCTGAGAGGTAGGGATTGTACGGTTGACGATGGCACGCTTGATGGCACGCTTGGTAAAAATGACATGCAGCAAGTGCTTACAAGGCGATTGGACTATAATCTATCATAGAGTCGCAGCCGCCTCGATTGCACCCGTTGCCTTGAATGCGGCCGGGTTCCGCATCACAACTTCAACGGGATACTGCCACTGCATGAATCGCGTCCAACCTAAAAGAACAACAAATTAGTAAGTTATTCTTTGTATAAAAACATCGTGAAGCTTGTTGGTGTCAGTGTCACATACTCCAATATGCGCATCGTCGCCCAAGGTATTTCCCAATGAAGGGTACCAGGACCATACTCAGAAGCAGCTCCAGTTGTTCAATGCTTTCTTGCCATTCTGCCTCGGCGTCGGAGGAATATTCAGACATGGTATCCAAGTCGGACTCGTCTGTAGATTCTGAGGGGAGAGAGGCGAGCTCATCGTCGGACTCGGAGTATGAGTTCTGTCGGGAGGGGACCATGTACGCGGACATCGAGAATGACGGATTCGAGCTGTCTGGAGAGGGGAAAGACATGGTGGAGATTGCTGTAAAGAGACGTGAGGGTGGTGAGATGAGGGGAAGCGATGTTGATCAAGCAGCGGCCTGCCTACTGCGGTTCAACGTAAATGTGAGAGCAACTGGTGTTTGCCTTGATCGGACTGGCACCGCCAAGCTTCGTAATCATCGACACGTGACTGTGTAATATAATGACTCAGTTTGGGGTCACGTGCCCGTACCGCGATAACAGAATCACCTTCAGGCCTGGCGATATCAGATTTCAGCGATAATTTTGCCATTTTACACGCTTGCTCTAGCTCTTTGCTTTCACAACAACCTGAACTCCTCTCCAACAAATTGTGGTGGAGCGAATAGCATCTTTGAAGCCTCGAAACATGGCGGACGCTGTACGTCACACACCCTTGTCTTTTTACCGACCCTCCCACATTTTCTTTGAGTCTGCACAATATCAACCCCTCGGCCGCCAACCTCAGTGATCCAAGAACACACATTGTTGAGCCCGGGGTTAAAGACTGGTACTTTTTATTGAAAAGCCAGGCCATACGATATCTTCTACTTTTTCTCTTTTTTCTCAGAACTAACACCGCTTTTTGCCGCTCCGCTCAGGAAATCGAAACTAAACAGCGCAAGTCGGTCGCATTCAGCGAAGGATCAGTCATCATGGATACCAACGGCCAAGTCACAGATGCCCCTCCGGCTGAGAAGCCCACAGGCGGTATGCAATAGCTCTCCGATCCCAGGCCCAGTCCCCCAGGTCGCTTTTGCCACGGCCCCACTAACGATCTCTTGAATATACAGAGAAGGATGTCGACGAGGTCACCGAGATGTTCAAGGGACTCTCAAAAAAGAAGAAGACCTCCAAGAAGTCTAAGACCGCCGACGCTGGCGATGACGAGGAAGCCCCCGCCGCCGCCGATGGCGAATTCGATCCCTCCGCCCTGAAGAAGAAAAAGAAGAGCAGCAGCAAGTCTAAGAAGGTCGACCCCAACGACTTCGATGCCAAGCTCGCTGAGGCTGGTATTGCTGAGGAGGCTGGCGAGGATCAGCCCGAGGAACTGCCCGAGGGTGATCTCGAGGCCGGCACCGGTATCTGGGCACACGACGCCACACAAGCCATCCCCTACTCGCTCCTCGTCTCCCGCTTCTTCTCCCTCATCGAGAGCCACCACCCCGACCTTCTGGCCAGCGGCGCCAAATCCTACAAGATTCCCCCGCCCCAGTGCCTGCGTGAAGGTAACCGTCGTACCATTTTCGCCAACATCGCCGATATCTGCAAGCGCATGAAGCGAAGGTTCGTTATTCTCCTCTTCCCATTAACCCGTTGAGATATCCTTTCTGACTGTTTGTGTCCCTATTTAGCGAGGAACACTGCACCCAATTCTTGTTCGCCGAACTCGGTACATCAGGCAGTGTCGACGGTAGCCGTCGTCTGGTTATCAAGGGAAGATTCCAACAGAAGGGTATCGAATCGGTTCTGCGTCGCTATATTGTTGAGTACGTCACATGCAAGACGTGCCGCAGCCCCGACACCGAGCTCAACAAGGGAGAGAACCGTCTGTATTTCGTTACCTGCAACTCCTGTGGATCCCGTCGTTCCGTCGCCGCCATCAAGACCGGTTTCCGTTCCCAGATCGGCCGCAGAAAGCGTGTGGGCTAAGCGGATGGAGCTGTGCTGGCAATTTGCGAAGGAAGGGCTTGTTTTTATCTCTTCCTTATGGCGTGTCACTTACTAGAGCTTTTATCGGGTGGAAACATGGCACTGTTGCTTTGGTTTTTACCCTCGCGGGCTTGAGATGAGGAAACGATTTGAAGAATAAAAAGTAGTTTCGCATGGAATGGACTCATATCACTATATCTTGCCTAGAGGCTGTATGATCTTGAATATAGGTGAACGTTTAGGATGATGCTAGAATCGTCCACTCTTGCAACGTTTATTTTACCTTCGTTTAAACCATCCGGGGAATTATTGTCTACGAGTTAGATCTGCTCTTCGGCGGATAATGGCTGATTCAGTATGTGTGAGCTCTGTCCCCCAATCCAGTTGAGCAAGCATCAAAGATCTCCAAGGGGTGTCGGCTGCTTCTTTACAAAACTTCCATGGCCAACACAGGCTCGTGACTGCTTCATTCATAGAACTTCCATGGAGTGACACCAACACAAGCTCGTAAGTAGAAAGTCAGACTTAATTTAAAGCTGTATGATAACGCTGCGAGAAAAGGAAAAACACAATAGTTCCACATAAAATGTACTAATATGACCAGGGCATTCGCTGTGACATAACAAATTGATATAAGATGGAGACCTGCTCGCGATTGGGCCTTCACCTGAGGCATAGGATAAGTACCTAGGTATACAACAACAGCACATCGGCTGGTGTCGGATTTGAAAGCAAAACGTATTTGGCGTATTTGGCGGAAATAAAATCAAAGTGTCGAGCCTCCAACTGCACCAGAGCGCGAGAATCTCAACCACTGGCGGTGCTGATCTTCATCTGGGTAGCGAAGGCGTTCAGGTTTCTGGTTTGCAGATAAACTGTTCCAGGGCCTTTGAATTTGCAACCCAGTCCTTCGCCAGAACTGAAGCTAGAAACAAGACCGCCAGAGGCAACACGCTCAATTTCGTACTTGCAGTTCCATGCAACAAGATGACCATTATCTATGAAGTAAGCCTCGCCTTCCACGAGCTGTATTATAAACATGTATCAGTAGAGTAGCGACATAAATAGCAGGATGGGGGTGAACTTACATCTTTCTTGATGATTGCTCCAAAGCTTTGCAGCCAGAACAAACCCTGGCCCGTGAACTCGTAAATGAAAAACCCTTCTCCGGAGAAGAACCCTTTGCTCAAGGTCTGAGCCTTGTATTCGTGATGAACACCAGCAGTATGGGCTAGGAAAGAGTCCCTTCCCACGTTCCATTTGTCTCCTGCATTGATATCGTGGACAATAATATCTCCCAGCATTGGCGGCGCAAGAAGCAGCTCACCCGGGCCCGTGTAGTGTGACATGGTCATGCTGCCACCGATGAGAAATTTCTTTAACGTGAAGGAGATGCTTCCTCTTAGGGTTATTGTTGGTGACATTGAAATCATTGCACCTGTTCCAATGTGAGTTTACTTGGACGCCAACGAATGAATAAAGGCGACACATTGGACAGGGATTTATCCAAGTATTTATTGTCTTACCTGGTCTGACAGTCAAAGGACAGCCCATTGCCAATTGCACTGTCAAAATTGAGTTCGTATCTCTGTGGCTGATTCTGTAACTGCCTCCATTGAATGTCCCAACATCGTCCGCATTGTGCGATTGTGCCCCAACAAACTTTCCATACGCTGGTGCACCTCCGGGAATCTTTTCCATCGTTACTGGGGGTGGGGTTTGAGATGAAATTGAGAGGCGGCCAAGAGACTGGTTTTGAAGTAATGCTGCCTGGTTTCGCTCGGCAATCTGATCACGGGGTGGTGGACTGGCTGATGGGGGAGCTGGATATCCCCCATTGGAATAACCCTGTTGGTTTGGTGGTGGGCTCACTGGATAACCCCCATTTAATGGAGGTGTTTGTCTGGGGGGTTGAGCGAAATATGGTTGATTGGGTGGTGTAAATGCTACTCAGGGCATTAGTATGACATTTATTGGGACTGAGGGCATCCATATTAATTACATGTCTGAGTTGGAGGAGCTATTCAAGTCAGTCGGCCTGTAAGTGTTTCCTGAGAGTTATGTGCTTACCAGACATAGGCGGAGGGGGATATTCATGTTGCTGTGACATGATGAAAATCAAGCTAAGCACAGGAAGACTATACGGAGACCAATTGAATCGAGCTGCTCAATGATCAGAATGATATTCCAGCTGCTGTCGAAAAACACTCACGGGCTTCGTAGACTGCGGGGTAGGGACTGATGGAATGTGGACAAGGTAAATTTCAATCGAATAAAATAAAAACTGTAGTATATTGCTTGCCGAGTTAATTGGGATCCTGAATAGCCTAGGGGTGGTTATCAGGTTTGGAGAAGAAGCATTCTGGGAGGAACATCTTGTGGCGGGCCATTCGTTTTAAAGAGCACAACTTCAACTCCGCACTGAAAGTCTAGAGCTATAATTAGACCTGAATTGGCATAGGAAGCGATCAACCGTGTGACAGAAAGGACTCGGTGATAGAGAGTCAATTTTATTATGTACGTCCCAGTCACATCCGACTACTGCATGTTCATCCCCGCCGAGCGCTTAGCTGCCCCTCCCTATGTGCCCCCTGCACAACTTGATAGGTCAGCTCTACAGACCACCCAACTCGACTGGCAATTTTCATTGGCCAACTCTCTAATACTCCATAGAGGGCCAAGGGGAAAGAAACTTTGAGAGCCCGATGACTGTGAGCTCGGGGCCTCAGTGTTACCGTTAAAGATTCAGTCAGACGGGTATATAGCCGATATGATAGGAGATTGTTTGCATTGCAAATGGAGGGGGAGAACAAGGTATGAATAAAGACTAAGTAGGCAGAGAGAAGGAAAAAGAGATCCTGGAGCCCAACCAGGTAAGCAAGGCGCGAAAAGATTACGACGATGGCCCCAGTATGGCTATAGCTTCATAGAAGTTTGCTTTTTTTGCCATATCCAGGGCTGTAAGGCCACGGTCGTCTTTCATATGGACATCAGCTCCTTTGTCCAACAGTAACCGAAGCACTGGCACTGAATGTTCTCTATACACTGCCCGCATAAGTGCAGTTTTCCCGCTGTTGTTTTGAGCATTGATGTTTGCTCCGTGGTTTATCAACAGCTCGAGAACAGCGAGATTTTTCTCCGTTGCAGCCCAAAGAAGTGGTGTCAAGCCATCAGACCCGACTGACTCTGTCCCCGCACCACTGGATAAAAGCAGCTCAACAATGTCAAAATGATCACTGGCCATTGCCCACCACAGCGCCGTCATCCCATTTTGATCCAACACGTTCAAATTGGCTCCGTATTGAAGAAGCGATTCCGTAGCCTTAATATGTCCTCCATATACTGCTGCGATCAGTGGCCTTCCGTGGGAAGCCTTGTCACTGCCATTAGGATCGGCACCGTTGTCCAATAACAGGACTATCCCCTCCACGTTTCCAAGTGCCGCTTGGTTAAACAGCGCGGGACAACCTTGTATATCAGGGGAATCAATCTCGGCACCCTGTCGAAGAAGGATCTGCAGAGCGAAATGGGAGTGTTTGTTGGCCGCAAGTGAGTATCCGAGTGTGACAAGGGCCGGGATGTGCTCGCTCATCTCCAGCCATTTTAACAAAAGGAAATAAACCAGGCCGTAGTATTTGTTTTCGACAGCCCAATCAAAACACCATTGGTCATCCTCATCTTCTCCTGAGCGTTTGAACCCAGTATTCTCAAGATCCCGCACGGTGAGCCAATCTTGCATAGCGCGAATTCCGGTTTGGGTGGCTTCTAGGTCCCGGTTGGTTCCAGCCAAATAAGACAAGCTCTCTGGTGCGTTGAGTGACTTTAAACCTGGCTGCATGAAGCTCATTCCCGGCACATTCGTTGAAATAATCCATGCGGTCCATCCTAATTGGCTGGAGAATGAGCGCCACCATTCAATACGATCTTGTGACATGGTCAAATCAGAAGACAGCGATACTTTCTGAGCTTGGAGAAACTCTTCTCTTATGTCTGAGTTGAGAAGCTTGCAAATTTGTGCGAATCCCTCCTTTCGAATAGTTTCGCTGTTGTTCAACAATGCTCGGCGGCAAAGAGAACCTAACTCGTATACCGACCGTTCGAATTGGGAACCTTCTGACCGTTGGCAGAGCCAACGAAGCAACTCAAAAGCATTTCGCCATTTACCCTTGCTTATGAGTTGTTCTCTCCGCGCTCTGACTTTAGCGCAGTCAGCTGCAAGATCAGGCAAAAGGTTTCGGTTCCTCAAAACAGGAGCAATGCATAGCAATGCATCCTCTCTTGACCCAAGAGAATTGGCTTCAAAGCAGGACACCAGTTCATCAATTCGCGTACATGAACCCAAAAGCGAGTTCTGTATACCAGATACAACATCGACTTCCCCACCCAGCTCCTTCATGTTGAGGCAAACTTCTTTGAGAAATTGGATGAAGATATCTTGGGCAGCCATTGTCTCTACTTCATTATCAGTCCTGATAGCGAGAAGATCCCCCAAGGGGAGACCCTCCTTAGGCTCAAAGCCGAATAGTCGCCGGGAGTCATCAATCAGGTCAGATGGGACCAGTCGGGCCTCTGTTTGTCGGAATATCCACTTGTGGAAGTAAAGGTAAGTCTCCTCCTTGCTTGCCTCTTCTTCGCTCAGTCCAACAAGGCGAAAGATTCGTGAAGATCTAAAATCATCACACGATTTACACAAAGACCAGGTCCATAGGCCTAGTATTGCTTCCAGCTCGTTGACTTGCATTTTCCATCGAAGAGCATCACCACAACGCATGAGACCAATTGAATAAGTTCCCGGAGATTGTGTGACAGAACATGGAGAAGAACTCCTGCACTCGAAGCCAAGTCGAAACTCAAAGATCTTCCCGAGATCAACTCCCCAGCCGGAGATCAAATCCATCGTCGACTCAATCGTTTGTGCGAGGTTTTGCGCCATTTGTCGAATAGGCATATCATCCCAGGCGGCGTTTATGCTCTGATCTGAGATAGATGTGAGATTGGCCAGCTGAGTTCGTGTTTGAATCAACTGTCTCGCCAATGGCGCTTCAATGTGAGACATGAACCTTGGTGAGGGAATACATGCTGGCCGATCAGGCAGCGAGACCATATTGAAATACTCGATTTTTTCGAGATAAAAGGCGAAGCAGTCTAGCTCCTGCTGCTTGTGAGCCATGAGCTCCCGGTCGTCTTTCATCTTATTTTCGTCGGGTGTCATTCTTTCTGTGCGGAGACAAGTACGTATAATAGCCATTAGAAATGTCGATCCCAGCTGAGCTAAGATGACAGATGCATGGAGGCCTCTGAGTCCGATGAATTGGAATATGAATCCCAATATTGTCGATGCGAGGGTAGAGTAGATCTCCAAATACTTCCTATCAAATCTCCGATCTCTAATCGATTTGATATAACGAAGTTTCGTGGTCATTGAAGAGTTGGGCCCTTCATTGACGGCCAAGAAAGCATTGAAGACTTGGTCGCCCACATCTTGGTTACCGGGCTGCAGCCAGTATATTTTGCTTGGCTTTTCTGCTTTGAGGTAGAACTCCTTGGAGGAACGCTCCATGATGAATGCGCAGAAGAACATTCCGAGAAACAGAAGAGCTGACCCGATGAGATAGAGTGGGAATGCATATGAGGCAACAGCTTTGTCGTCTTTCTGGAAATGCTGGGGATACACGAACACCGTGAGTACAGCGTACATAATAGCGCCTTGGTTTGATCATCAATACTATTTCAGGCTCAAAGAAGGAGAAGTACTCACCACTCTGTAGTACACCACCAAGTATTGCAGCACAATGAAACCAAAATTGATCTCTCCTCTTGATTCCCTTGTTCAATGACAGATTAGGAACGTCCAGTTCAGGCAATTCACTAGGTGACACTTTGCTCTTGCAAGACCAAGCCTTTTCCTCAAGGGCATCTTTCAAAGTGCCAATCTTTGTCTTCTTTTCTCCAGTATTAAGGTCCACATCCTCCCAAGCAACTATCTCCACGATCTTGGGCCGGCCAAAGACTCGTGTAATACCGCCATCATTAAAGAGCTCCGCCGTAGATTCCGAGACGCAAGGAAGGAGTTCACTTTCGGCTTCGGCAGGACCTTCTTGTGCTCGTCCGACGAATGCCCTGAGGGAAGAACTTCCGCATATCCTGATTACTGACACAACGGAAGTCAAAACTCCTAGCGGTGAAAGGGCGAAGATGACATTATCGAGAGTGCTGATGGATTCGGAGAGAAATTGTTTCGTAAGTCGTTCACCGAACAAGGTAATTAAAGGCGCCTTTGACCAAAATATCAGCACATCCACTCGGAGCCTGTCTGATCCAGACAATATCAATATAAACATACCAAGTCGGTAGCAAGATTATTTGTGAAATCTTCCCAATCATCAGCCTTGACAAGAGGAAACAAAGATATAAAAAAAAGTATAGAAAGCATCATAAATCATAACACGTCAACTCATAATAAAATATAGATCATATAGTAAAACTCACAGAACTAACAAAAAATCTTCAAACAACAGCCCAAACCGCGCTCTCTTAAGAGAACACCCCTCGATCATCCATGCGCCATCGAGTGGGCATACACTGCCGATCCTCACTCAATTCAGAGCGAAGTACGGAGCCCCCATGCTCGCGAGGCGCCTCCGGAGTGGCAATAATAGAGCCCCAACTAATGATATCAAGAACACTATGATAATGGCTTTAATCTTGTCGGGACCTGAAACCCACTAGGACACCTAGTGCAGGCGTGTAAGCGCTAGCTGTGCTGGCGAGTGTTCCCGTTATCCTGCACTAGTGCCGGCCCGCATCCCGCTATATCACGGACTGCGGGTCTCGATGCGGGCTTTTCTTTGACCGGCGCGTAACTTATCCTTGATGAGTGACGGGCTTAAGGGAATTTAATATATATAGGATGGCTGTTATGCGGGGAGGGGAAGAAGGAATGTCAGTGGTGTGGAATGGTTGGTTATCGGGCTATCATCGTATTTTTGGGCACTTTCCCTTCTTATTTTGGGGCTGTGGGATGCAGGGCTCATTGTACCCTAGCAAGGATAATAGACAAGTCTAGGATCAGGAATATGTGCTCTCTCCTGCACTAGTTAGGGTCAGGGGTGTAGAACATGTCTGAGGTCAACGGAACTCGCGGCTATGACAACCACATGGTCTATCTTGGCAGGTTGATGGTGGTGGTATTGTTGCAGGCAGATGGAGGCTCTTCCTGTTATAGAATGGTGAATATTTCAAGCAATTGAGCCTGCTAAGGTCGAGTTTTAGATTGAACACAGGGGGGTGTCGTATATTTCACTTGGTGTTGAAGTCCAGATTGATTCCACTCTTGACACGTTTATATATATTTCTGATCAATTCATCAAATCGATAAACGAAAAGCCGAGACTGGGTACAAGAGGCAATCCAATCCATTTAGGAGACTTGAATTTGATAGAGAATCAATGATTGTTAACAGTTGATGTAAATGTTAAGTCAATGTCGGGGCGGAGATTCTGAGATGTTGGCCAGATGATTTAGGCTACTAAATAACACCCGAACTACTTTGTTACAACCCCCTGTGTCTCCCGACTCTCCCTACTCTTGGCTTTTCATCTCTCTTGTCATTCTGCAATTGTCGCCTTCAATCTCTACAACCCGCGTCCTTTCATAATGGCGGCCCCTAGCGAGTTCGCGTCTGCCATGACCGCCCGGTCGCTCCGCATGGTCCGGACAGTATGGCTTCCCGGCATCCTGTTCCTGAAATCGCGATCCAGGTACTAATTCAACATCATCCAGGAACTGGAATTCCTTGCCGATGCCTCCGTGATTACTCCTCGCCAGCTCTCCTCCATTCTATCACAGCTACCCACCGATTCCGAGGGCACTCGGGCGGTGCACGCATCACCATCGCCGGTCCGACAGCAGGCACAGCCTGCGCCAGCTCAACATGTTCCAGTTCAAGCACAGCCATCTCCGGCCCCCTACACGCCCTCATACTCGCCTCCTGTCTCACAAATGGCCAATGCGTCGGTGAGTGAGAAAGCCTACTCGCATAATCAATACGCAAGCCAGCCCCCGCAGGCCCCGCCAGCCTATCCCCAAGTCCCGCCGGTCCTCGGGCTCGCCTCGGCCATGTACGCATACACACCTACCGATGCCGGTGACTTGGCCCTGCAGCCGCAAGATCGCATCCAGATTACTGAGCACATGAATGACGACTGTACGATATTCCCCTTTTCCATGATATGGATACGAAGCTAACGATAAACAGGGTGGCGTGGTCGCAACGAGCGGACTGGCCAGGAGGGTATCTTCCCTCGAAGCTATGTGAACATTGTGAATGAGAAGGCTGCTGTTTCTTCGCCCCCGCCTACAAACTATGGAAACATGCCTCTTGCTGTCAGCCAGAGTGGACAGCCTGAAAACCCCGATGACCCAAAGAAGAACAAGATGGAGGAGGGAGGCAAAAAGTTCGGAAAGAAACTGGGCAATGCCGGTACGTCTTATATCCTTTTGATATTCGTTATTCAGTTGCTAACTTGACATTAGCAATCTTCGGTGCCGGTGCTACCGTTGGCTCCAACATCGTGAACAGCATCTTCTAATCATACGGCCGAGCTATTCTGCTGGGCATTTTGCTTCGTGTTCACTCTCATTGATACGGCGTTGGGGGCTTGGATTTTTGCTTTGAATGGATTGACTGGGCTCAATTAGCATCGCTTATTGGCGAGCTTATGACCGAAATTCAGGGTTCCCATTGTTCAAATGCTAATTAGCCCTTCATTGCGATACGATCCTGACTTAGGGTTACATACATATCTATCTTAGCCAATGACTTTCCTGATGATCTGGATCACATTGACATAAGCTTGAATAATACGGCCATACCTTGGTCATTAGATCATCTGGTCGAAGCGAAACAAAAGATAATAGGTAATTCTGCTACAAGTTCATTCCTTGATTCCGATATCCTACACAGGGAAAGAGGACGGAAATAATGCCCTTTCTACCTCCTACGATAATTGCACCGAATATAGACAGGCTCGTCAATTTCTGGCCCTCTGCTTTTTGTTCATTCTCCTAGGTCCAGATCTAAGCACAGTCCATCTCTCGCCTAAAAAATGCCTAAAAGATCGTGCAAGTTGGGACCGATTGGTGGAAAACACCCACTGAATGTGGGATGTGATAGAATTGCAGTTCTATGATCGAGTTGTCCCACGGAGGATAGCTTTTTGTCTTGCAAGACTTAGGAATACTACTATCATATATTTTCTTCCGTATATAGGCTATAGACCTCAGACTGAATTGTTCAATGTACATATTGCTGTATAGTTATATATCATCCGACCATGTCATCCAAAGGTAGAACCGCTGATATAGAAGGAAAATATAACTTACAAGAGACTAACATCCCTTATATCTTGCTTTTAGATTGAGTTGACAAAAGGCCCAGGAGCCTGTAGGCCCAACTTGTTTCTAGGGCTGGCAATAATGTACAACGTACGAGCAGAGAGGCTAAGCCTATCCTGGTGCCCGATCATGCTCAGCCTCATCGTGGGGATCCGTGGTTGAAGACTCACTATGACTCTTCACTCTTCTGCTACTTTGGTACAACGACCTCCTAGCATGCCGTTTGAGAATGGCGATTGGTTCTTTCAAGGCATATCTATGATACCTGTGATTAGGGCTGGAAATGTGTGCAGAAGGCCTTATGACATCAAGTTGTGGGTCGAATAACATCATTGTCTTGCCGGTGGTTTGAAGCGGACTATATCTGTATGTCCATCTAAAGATGATCGGGGGATATCATATTGTTGAAGAACTATTTTAAGCCTGTGTGGAATCTGACAATTGTTGCAAAAAGGGTCTGGAATGTATGAAATAGTGTGTATCACGCAAGTGGCAATCGATGTGGTGGGGAATTGACGATTGGTATAGCGAACCCGCAAAGACCTCATTGAAGTTCCCTAGAAAAGAGGCAAAGGTAAAGCGCTGCAACAAACTGAAACAGTCATACAGAACTGATAGAAGTAGGAAATGATTTCAAATGTAAAAGAAAGCCGAAACACAATGTGAACAAGGCAAGGGCAGACGCCTTCCAGATATACGCTAGGCTCAAAGCGGACTAGCGCGGGCTCCCCTCCCTCGAGAAGCTTCTGTGTCATCGATATATAAATTGCATTTCTCTCTTGACCCTCACACGACCAACGTCATCTCCTTCCACGCTCAGCTATCATTTTCACCAACCTCAACCACCAACACCCCCAAAAACAACCTCTTTTCAAAATGTCTGACTGGGAAAGCACCACCAAGATCGGCAGCAAGTTCCGCGGAGCTGGCGCCCAGCCCCGCGAGACCGTCGTCAAGGGCAAGAGTGCCCTGAACGCTGCCCAGCGTTCCGGTAGCGTTTTCACTGAGAAGAAGTACACCACTGGTAACCTTGTACGTGCAATCTCCTTTGAAACTACGAGAAATACCTTGAATATCCACTAACACACACTCTCTAGAGCGCCAAGGCAGGTGCCCCCGAAGGCCAACACTTGACCAAGGTCGACCGCAGCGACGACATCGTCAAGCCCAAGACCATCGGCTACGCTGTCGCTGACGCTATCAAGAGACGCCGTACCGAGGAGGGCTACAAGATGACCCAGAAGGAACTCGCCACCAAGTGCAACACCACCATCACCATTATCCAGGATTTCGAGCGTGGAACCGCCGCCCCCGACCAGAAGGTTCTCGGATCCATGGAGCGTGTGCTGAACATTAAGCTGCGTGGTTCAGACATCGGCTCTGAAAAGTTCCCCAAGAAGAAATAGATGGGAGTTTGAGCCCGTGGTCTTTATCCCTTCGGGAATATGAGACTGGGGCAAATTCCAAAATCTTTTTCTGCATTTGCTTTTTTGCGCTCTATGACTGTCATGTTCCTTCTCCATTTTCATGAGACGTCACCTTTTTTTTTTGTTTTTTTCTACGGGTTTCTTTTTCTGCTGGTCGGATTAGCGCTGGCCTTGCATGGGAAACGGGTTTAGAGAAGATATCACGAAAAAAAAATTGTATAAATGAGATACCTCACTTTTTGATATTATCAATCTGGTTTTCTACCTGTAACTGGCATCTAACTGTAAGTTCGAGTAGATAGATGTGGTTTTTATACCTCGCACATCACCCATGCACACATAGGAAGGCCTAGCCTATATACAAAGTAGGCATACTTCAATTCCTACAGGGATGCAGAACTATTCTAACAAGATTAGTTGGCCGCTCATTCGGCGTCTTTTTTCTAGATACCTTGTCCCCTTCTCAAGGTTTCTAGATTAGAGAGGAAAGCCATAAGAGGGTTAAATTGTGAAATGGAATTTCCAATATATAACCTTCGATTCCTATCCTCATGTTCCTTCGATACCAGCCGGGCTGCCTGAACGCGATTTGAAGATTTGCAAAGCTTTGATTTCGTCTATTTACCCGATTTTCTTCTCTTTTGCGGAGGACCAGGACAGACATAAGAGCTCAAAAATGAACCATGTCATCTTTTTATTAAACAAAGACACAAACACAAGGTACCAACTCCGATTGATCATGGAATCAATGAAATGAGAAAATCGTGGACCGGAAGGTCATCCCATTCCGTATGCGGGACTCGGGGGATCTGTCCCAAGTCTTTTCGCCTCGTAAACACATACACACGACGCATCCCAACTTTCTTCACCACATCCCCTTCTTTACTTCCGCGCTTGCTCCCGCTCGACCTCGTACATGAAGTCGAAGTATGACTTGTCGAAGTGGTGGACACGGACGTATCCGTCCTCACCACCGGAGGCGTATGCGGTACCGGCGGGGTGAACGTCGATGGTGTTAAGGGGACCGAAGTGGCCACGAACGCGGCCGCATTCATCTTCGAAAACCTGAGTAATTAGATTATTAGTACGTGGCGAGTAAAGTCGATCGAACGCATATTGTACTCACTCTGTGGTAGAAGCGAGCTTCGAATTTACCCTGGCGGGCGGAGGTGGTGGTAACATCCATGGCGGCTTGACCACCACCGAGAACGACGAAGTCCTTCTTGGGTGTCACACTAGCAGTGTTGAGAGGAGTGTCGGAGATATAGGTTTTGAGAATGGCGAGGTTGCGGGAGGACAGGAGCTGCATATTATTAGCCCGAGTTGCCTTTTAGAATGATCTGCAAAAGAACATACCTTGGCTGACTTGTCTTTCGACGCGGTAATGAAAGACAGACGATCGGGTGCGAACTGAATGTCGGTTATTTGGCTATCGAATTCGTGGATTTGCACGTTCTCGACTTGTTCTCCAGACTAGAGCTGGCATTAGCATTTCATGTTCCCCAAGTCACCCGAAATCATCCCCCCCAAAAAATTTACCTTAGGATCATACTGGCTGACACTGCCGTCCTCGTGCCCCGCAATGATGTACTTGGACAGGAAACTCCACCCCGCCACGGTGGCCTTGCTCTCCTCGCAAACGATGGTCAAGGTAGGCTCGGTGGCCTGCGCACTGAGGTTTTCGCCGTAGTTGATATCGAGAATCGCGATAGTACCATTGAAACCCATGCGCTTTTCCGTCACTGCCAAAAGTCTGCTTCCATCGGGGGAAAATGCCACGCGCTTGACGGCTGTCGAGAATTCCCACACCTTCACACACTCGCCGGTCTTGATGTTCCATAGACGCACGGTGTTGTCTGCTGATCCGGTTGCAAGAAGAATGGTGTTGGGGCTGACGTCGACTGTCCAGACAGCACCCTGGTGGCCGTTGTAGGTACCGAGACGCTCGCCGTTGGCGGACCACCATGCGCACACAATCTTATCCTTGGAGACGGAGAAGAGGAGATCGCCATCGCTGTTGAACTTGATCTGGGTCAGGGACCGCTCCTGTTGTTATAGTTGGCTGCGGTCAGTCTCTGTGGATCCAGCAAGATTTCGAGGAAGTCAACGCACATGGCCGGAAAGCAAAATAGGCCGCATTTCGAAGGGTGAAGTGATTAGGAAATTCGAGATGGAGTATCGGAGGGGAAAAATCTGAGACGCTCGGCTCAGAAGGGGTAAGGCGGAGTGGCTTTTTGGGGGGGGTCAACCTCGTCAACCTCACTTTCTTTGACTAGTGAATTTCATCGCACACTCGGCCCTCAATGCCAAGCCTCTGTCGGAGGCTAATATAATCCGCATTCCGATATCTACACGTGACTGATATCTGGCGACCCCTAAGCCCTAACTGGTGGTCCCGAAAAGGTTAATGCGTCCCGGATGACTCATGCGGCTTAGATAGGAAATAATGCCCCAGGCAGAAACCAGGAGATGGCCGGGAAACTCCCCGACTCTCCGCATGAGCTTAAGTACAGACAAAGGAAGAGATGAGGTGAATGTGAGGGGAAGATCTCGAAATTGAAAGGATTGGCTTGACTTCAGTATATCTCCGGAACAGTGCATGTGAAATCAAGGCCTAAATTGGTTGATATCTTTTGCAACGACGGTAGCAACTCCGAGGGTTCGCCCCAAACAAGCAATAATTCATGCCATTCGTCCCCGCTGCCCTACCCCGCTGCACTTTTTATCTCCAAGTGCATGCGGGCACTCGTCTCCGAAATCTTCCTCTCCTATCTCGTTCTTTTTCCTATAACTATTCCTCTGTCCAAGGAGTCAGACGATCTCATTCATCGTCGATTGAGTCCTCTTTAGTGAACGTCAATTTTTCTCCTATCAGCCCCGCCTTTCCGACTTTCCGAACGTTTTCCGGCTCAGCAATGGCTGCCGCCAAGATTGATGGCACTGCCATCGCGAAGAGCATTCGCCAGGGGTTGAAGTCCGAGATCGAGCAGATTCAAGTGACCAACCCTAGATTCAAGCCCAACCTAGTCATCTTCCAGAGTAAGCATGCCCGCCCTCCAGTTTGATTACAGAAGCGTCGGATACTAACACGATGATTCTATTTAGTCGGCAGCCGATCTGATTCTAGTTGGTTTATCTATAAAGGGCGTGGAAAGATCGTTTGGGCTAATATTAATTAGGTACCTATGTGCGCATGAAGCTGAAGGCCGCCCAGGAGGTATGACTTGCTGTTTGGGATATTTGAGGCATTCTCTCACTTTACTCACCAGGCCAACATCATCTGCACCTTGATCAACGTTCCCGAATCGAGCACGGAGCTGCAGGTCATCCAAGAGATCACCAGAGCCAACAATGACCCCACGATCCACGGAATCCTCGTTCAATTGCCTCTCCCAAATCACATGTCTGAGCATGCAATCACATCCGCCGTTGCAGACGAGAAGGATGTCGATGGGTTCGGCGCAATCAATATCGGCGAGTTGGCCAAGCGAGGCGGTCGTCCGCTGTTCACTCCCTGCACCCCTCTGGCGGTGATGGAACTACTCAAGGCAAGCGGTGTAGACCCCGCCGGCAAGGAGGCAGTCGTCCTGGGACGTAGCGACATCGTCGGTAGCCCAGTCAGCTATTTGCTCAAGAACGCGGATGCTACCGTTACTGTCTGCCACTCAAAGACACCGGATATTGCCCGTATTGTGAAGAACGCTGACATTGTTGTGGCGGCCATTGGCCAGACTGAGCTTGTGAAGGGTGACTGGTTGAAGCCCGGTGCTGTGGTCATTGATGTTGGTATCAACTACAAGCCTGATGCGACCAAGAAGTCCGGTGAGCGACTGGTCGGCGATGTGGAGTTTGAGTCCGCTTCCCAGGTGGCCTCACAGATCACCCCCGTCCCCGGTGGTGTTGGTCCCATGACAGTGGCCATGTTGTTGAAGAACGTGGTTCATTCTGCCAAGGGCTACTTCGAGAAACAGAAGGACCGCCACGTCACTCCTCTTCCCATTCGCCTACAGACCCCTGTGCCTTCCGATATTGCCATCTCGCGGGCCCAGTACCCCAAGCCCATCACCCAGGTTGCCACTGAGGTCGGCATTGCCCCTCATGAGTTGGAGCCCTACGGCCACACCAAGGCCAAGATCAGCCTCGGTGTGCTGGACCGCCTCTCCCACCGCCGCAACGGAAGATACATCTTGGTCTGCGGTATCACACCCACCCCTCTTGGTGAGGGCAAGTCCACCACCACATTAGGTCTCACTCAAGCACTTGGTGCCCATCTGAACCGTATTTCTTTTGCCAACGTCCGTCAGCCCAGCCAAGGACCTACCTTCGGCATCAAGGGGTGGCGCCGCTGGTGGAGGCTATAGTCAAGTTATTCCCATGGACGAGTTCAACCTCCACCTTACTGGAGACATTCACGCCATCACCGCTGCGAACAACCTTCTCGCTGCGGCCATTGAGACTCGCATGTTCCACGAATCCACCCAGAGAGACGGACCTCTTTACAAGCGTCTTGTCCCTGTCAACAAGGGCACACGTGAATTCAAGCCCATCATGTTCCGACGTCTGAAGAAGCTAGGTATCGAGAAGACTAACCCAGACGATCTTACCGAGGAGGAAATTACCCGCTTTGCCCGCCTAGATATCGACCCAGACACCATCACTTGGCGCCGCGTTCTCGATGTCAATGACCGTCACCTGCGTGGTATCACCGTCGGCGTGGCCCCTACTGAGAAGGGTCTGTCTCGCGAGACTGGCTTCGATATTTCCGTCGCTAGTGAGTGTATGGCCATTCTTGCCCTGAGCAACGACTTGGAGGATATGCGTGAGCGACTGGGTCGTATGGTGGTTGCCACTTCTAGAAACGGCGACCCCGTGACTTGCGACGACATTGGTGCCGGTGGTGCTCTTGCCGCCTTGATGAAGGATGCCATTAAGCCAAACTTGATGCAGAGTTTGGAAGGCACTCCTGTGATGGTGCACGCTGGTCCCTTTGCTAACATCAGTATTGGCGCCAGCTCTGCCATCGCTGATAAGCTTGCCCTCAAGCTTGCCGGTACTGAGCCTGATGAGGATCATGAAGCCAAGACCGGTTTCGTGGTCACTGAGGCTGGATTTGACTTCACCATGGGTGGTGAGCGCTTCTTTAACATCAAGTGCCGCTCCTCTGGTCTGGTTCCGGACACTGTCGTTATTGTGGCTACTGTCCGTGCGTTGAAGGTTCACGGCGGCGGCCCCGAGATTAAGCCCGGTGCCCCTCTCCAGGAGGTCTACCGCACCGAGAATGTAGATGTTCTCCGCAAGGGTTGTGTTAACCTGCGGAAGCACATCGCCAACGCCAAGCAGTACGGCGTCCCGGTTGTCGTCGCGATCAACAAGTTCGAGACTGACACCGATGCCGAGATTGCTGTCATCAAGGAGGAGGCGATCGCTGCTGGTGCCGAGGATGCTGTCCCTGCCAACCATTGGGCTGAGGGTGGAGCTGGCGCCGTTGATCTGGCCAAGGCTGTCATGACCGCTAGCTCTAAAGAGAAGGACTTCAAGCTTCTCTACGGACTGGATGGAACCATCCAGGAGCGCATCGAGCGCATCGGCCAGGCCATGTATGGTGCCGAGAAGGTCGAGTTCAGTGAATTGGCCCAGAAGAAGGTCGACACCTACACCAAGCAAGGGTTCTCTAACCTGCCAATCTGTATCGCCAAGACTCAGTACTCACTCAGTCACGACCCAGCCCTTAAGGGCGCCCCCACCGGCTTCACTGTGCCGATTCGGGATGTTCGATTGGCTGTGGGTGCTGGATACCTGTAAGTTTTTGTTCCCGCGTTTTGTGGGAATTTAACACGCTAATAATATAACTATAGCTACGCTCTGGCTGCCGACATTCAGACCATTCCCGGACTGCCCACTGCCCCCGGCTACCTCAATGTGGACATCGACACCGAGACTGGTGATATCGGTGGGCTGTTCTAGATTACGATATAGATAGGGAGATATTTGGAGCTTGCATATACCATTGTTCAGAATTTCGATTTTATTTTTCAACACATACGAGAATTGGCGTCTGATCGGGCCCTTAGATGGAGATTTTTCAACACTTGCGCATTCGGGGCAATTGGACACATGAAATTCATTTTGACAATATTCATCATAATCAATATATATATATTTTTTTTGGATCTTCATATAAATCGTGCAATTCGGCTGGATCTTTTCCGGGGTCAAAAAGGGAGGGCCGGTCAAGGCCGGAGTTGAGCTCCGTTCTCCGGGAAATCGCTCTATCAGCGCATATATTCTTGTTCAGCGGGTCGGTTGATGGAGCTTGAAGTAAAAATTTAGCTGAGAAAGGATTAGATCGATGAGTCAGGACAAATTGAATACAACATAGAAAGATTTAAAAGAAACAAAGAAATCCAGGTGAAATTGCTCTTCAACGTTTCAAAAGTCTTCAAATATCTCGTGACTGTCCGGCTTCGGCGCTTCTTTTTGCGGAGTTCATAAGATCCCCCCAACCTCCATTACACCGGACAAGGCTTTTTCCTCTTCTACCATTCTTTAAACACTCTTCAGTCTCTTAATCGGTAATTATTCCCTTTCTTATTTGCCTTACTTGCCTTACCTCATCTTATTCCGATCAAATTCCCCCGTATTGCCCCGGTTTCCTTTACCCAAAGTCCCGGAAATCGCATCTTCTCTCTACCCTTTCTCCGGGAAATTTCCCGACTCCACACTTTCCTTTCTGCCGAACCTCATTCCCTCGGCTGTGAATCAGCGAGTGAGGCGACTTACATTCCCGCTCAGCCAAACAAAAACTGCGAAATTGGCGCTGACGTTCTTAGCTATCTCACGATGAACGCTCTCCGGTCCAGTTCCGCACTCGCTCGTCGGTCCCTCGCGACCCCCCTGCCCCTCTCTCTTCTACTTCTCGTCTTATTTCTTCCTCTTCCTTTACTTCTTCTTCTTCCAAGAGATCTATCTCCTCTACCTCCCTCTCTCAACGAACTAATCGAGTTGCTGCTTCTTCCCGCTGGTCCGGATCGATCCCTTCGTCTCTCACTCAAACCCGCACTATGGCTTCCGAAACCAAGATCAAGGTCAAGACCCCTGTGGTCGAGTTGGATGGTGATGAGGTATGGGACAACTCCTCCTTTTATAGTTCAAAGTTTCAATCCGCCTGTTTCACAAGCCCGTACATCCTCGTGCTCGGGTTGCGTGTTTTCGTCGAAAACGCGGGGAAACACGGGGAATATCACGATAATACATGTGTCAATCGGATGATGACGCCGCCCCAGGCGTTGAAACTCATTTTGGACACATGCTAACCGAATTGGTTTTCGCGAACATAGATGACTCGTATTATCTGGCAAGAAATCAGAGAAAAGGTAAGCTTATCGTCCACTCCTCGACCGCGCTTGACCTGCGTGATCCCCACCATTGCAGGGCGCATGCAGTTGATACGTCATTACGTGCCGGCTCGGATTTATGCTTGGTACTAATTGGGTGCCTATAGTTGATTCTGCCTTACCTCGATATTGATCTCAAGTACTACGATTTGGGTATTGAGTACCGTGATGAGACCAATGACCAGGTTACCATTGATGCCGCCGAGGCTATCAAGCAGTACGGTGTTGGTGTCAAGTGCGCCACCATCACCCCCGATGAGGCCCGTGTTGAGGAGTTCAAATTGAAGAAGAGTAAGCCCATTAAGCTCTGCGGCCGAAATCCGTTTTGTGTAGCACCGAAAAGCTAATCATTTCTAGTGTGGCTCTCCCCCAACGGCACTATCCGCAACATCCTGTGAGTAAACTCAATCCGATTGGCTTTGACCATCCACTAACGATCCATCTAGTGGCGGTACCGTGTTCCGTGAGCCCATTGTCATTCCCCGCATTCCCCGCCTGGTCCCTGGCTGGACCAAGCCTATTGTCATTGGCCGCCACGCCTTCGGTGACCAGTACCGTGCCCAGGACCGTGTCATCCCTGGCCCCGGTAAGCTCGAGTTGGTCTACACCCCTACCGGTGGTGAGCCCGAGCGCGTCCAGGTCTACGACTTCCAGGGTGGTGGTATCACTCAGTGCCAGTACAACACCGATGAGTCCATCGCTGGCTTCGCCCACTCCTCCTTCAAGATGGCTCTCATGAAGGGTCTTCCCCTCTACATGAGCACCAAGAACACTATCCTCAAGAAGTACGATGGCCGCTTCAAGGACATCTTCGAGGACATCTTCCAGAAGGAGTACAAGAAGGACTTCGATGCTAAGGGCATCTGGTACGAGCACCGTCTCATTGACGACATGGTCGCTCAGATGATCAAGTCCGAGGGTGGCTTCGTCATGGCTCTTAAGAGTGAGTTTTCCGTCTATCGCATATTGGTTTATTTCTTATCTAACATACATGTTTAGACTACGACGGTGATGTCCAGTCCGATATCGTCGCCCAGGGCTTCGGCTCTCTCGGTCTGATGACCTCCGCTCTGGCCACCCCCAACGGCGACGCCTACGAGTCCGAGGCCGCCCACGGAACCGTGACCCGTCACTACCGCGAGCACCAGAAGGGTAAGGAGACCTCCACCAACCCCATCGCCTCTATCTTCGCCTGGACCCGTGGTCTCGTCCAGCGTGGTGTCCTCGACAACACCCCCGAGGTTGTCTCCTTCGCTGAGGAGCTCGAGCGTGCCTGCGTTGACGTCGTCAACGAGGAGGCTATCATGACTAAGGATCTGGCCCTCGCCTGTGGTCGCAAGGACCGCGAGGCTTGGGTTACCACTGGCGAGTACATGGCTGCCGTTGAGCGGAGGCTGAAGGCCAACCTCAAGGCTCGCCTGTAGATTGTTTTTCCCATTTGCTGCAAAATTTGATGAGATACTCCCGTTTTAGAATCCCTAGCGGAAAGATATTGGCCTAATTTTGATTGGTCATTTTTGTATAGTTTGCAATTGAATTGTCATTCTGTATACTTTTTTGTATAAGTAGATTGTGTACCTAGGTATCTTGCTATTTAGGTTTCATGTTTATTCCACGTGCTACCACAGTGTCTATCTTACTTCAACAGGGGTGCCTTTGTCGATTGCAGGGACATACATTTAACCACTCCAAACATGACCATCGCCACCTTGTGTTTAAAAGAATCAGAAACCCACAGATCTCAATGAGGAAGTGATAGTTTCGCCTTCCCCGAAAATCAATCCCAGATCCTGCCCCCAAGTAAAAAGTCAAACAAGGGATCTTCAACTCCCAGACTGGCCTGGTTACTTTCTCCAGAGTTACGGGGTAAGGTCGTTACCGAACAATCATAAACCTTCGAACCAATTGAACCAATTAGGATGTGGGTCGTGTACGGGGGATCCATAACTTTATTTAGACAGCCAATCATCTGCTTTGGGGCTTAGTATCCGATCGACCTAGAGCGAGGTCTTGACGCAAGTGGTTATCTTTATTTCCTAATCCGGCCATTTCATCTTTTTGGTCTTTTTCATCAGAGAGCAAATCTTGATTGGAAGAAAGGGGTTTGGGTGTGAATTCATGGACCCTGACGCAGATTTTGCGGCCAAACTTGTGTTCGTCTCTCTTTTGTTTTAATTTCTGCTTAAATTAAACTCACTTACTTCAAGTTACTTGCAATTCGACGAATTCTACTTACTCAATATTCACTCGCAATCTGATGGCGGTACTGGTGCATATTCACACTGCATTTCATTCAGTACAATGACATATGTATATTGTGCGGCTTTCTACTGAAATCCGGTTGATATCTTTAATATTTATCGATTGACTGTCTTGCCGATTAAATGTACGTTGTGATCGTCACTTCGGCCTTTATGGGGCTGGCGGCTTTGACTGTCGCCCTCCGGTTATACACTCGGGTCTACGTGGTGAAGGCTCCTGGACTAGATGACTGGATTATACTAGGTGCATTGGTATGTATATCCATCTACTATGCATGCCACGACAACACACGCTAATCATCTATCAAAGATCGTCGACCTAGCATTCTTCGCTTTTATAATTCTTGGTAAGTGATCCATCCCAGCAATGTCATATTAGTATACATTCCAATCTAACGATTTCCTATACAGAACGAGAATATGGCATTGGCGTCCCCGCGTCAGAACTATCGACCGATGAGATCGAGCGCCAACTATTTGTACGAAACAACGTCCCTTCTGTTATGGAAAAACTCACTAATAAAATCAACCCACAGTGGTTATGGCTTTCGGTCCCTTTCTACAACATGACCATGATCCTAGCCAAGTTATCAGCCCTGACTCTTTACATCCGTCTCTTCCGTCCCCATCCCTTCCTCTTGGCTACCTACATCATAATGGGCTGTCTCGTTGTCATAGGCCTATGGACGACCCTGAGCGGCTTTTTCTTCTGCATCCCTATCCACGCCTTCTGGAGTGCATCGGCAGAGGTCCGCAACACAAAATGTCTACCCGCCGCCCCTGTCTGGTTCACCAATGCGGCACTACAGACTATTACCGATCTGGTGATATTGGTTTTGCCCATGCCGCTGCTATGGAAGTTACAATTACCGAAAAGACAAAAATGGGGAATACTTGTGGTTTTCGGTCTTGGAATCATGTAAGTCGAACTAGTTAACTCGTTTGTGTTTGATCCCAGGAACCAAGCTGACTTTTCTTATAGTATTGTTGCCACCAGTTGCGCTCGCATGTATCCATTGAGCATCATGGTTGCTGGAGACTTTACCCGTAAGCATACAACATCTTCCTTTTACATACTGCAACATTCGAAAAGAAGAAAAGAAAAAGAACAAAACTAACACACCAACAGTTGCAAATGCCCGAGCAGCCCTCTGGTCCTTCCTCGAAGCAAACGTATCCATAATCTGCATCTGTCTGCCACCTCTCCATCCACTGATCTCCCGCGTGTTCTCATTCTTCTTCCTTCCTCGACCAGTACACTCGCGCGCCTCAAAGGTTCATTCAAATAGAACCCAGATGAGTGAGCCTCTCCGTCGGGATGGTAGTATCTGGTGTAATGAACTCTTCAGTCCCGGACCGGGGAGTTACTCTGCTAGTATTTCAAAGGTCGATACGAATGAAGACGAACATGAGAATGAGGAGGGGATTCGGGTTAAACGAGAGTTAAGGATGGAGTCTGATACCCTTCATACTCCTATTCTCAGGCCTCATTCTGCGAGAAGTCTTCGCTTCGATATTGAGATGGGGGAGGGGGTTACGAGGAGTAAGACTGCGCATGCGAAGCCATGCTCGAATCCTAGTGCTGAGAGGGATTTCGGGGATTTGGGGGATTTCGAGTTCCCGGACTATAAGGAGAGGATGAATGCTCCGATTTGAAATTGCGGCGAGTTTGGATTGTATATATTGAGCATTAGCAAAGCCTGTGATGTGATTGCATACAGTGACGATATGAATGACATTGGATTTATTGCATGTGGAACATTTAGAAAGCATGATATATATATATATGTAGTGTTCTGTTATACCCCTGTCGTCAAAACTGACGGTGAGGACCTAGTAGCAAACATAACTAGTGCGAATAATGTACGATGTCAAATCAAAGATTTGCCCGCGAGGGAATCTTCCTCTGCATAGCCTGTTCAATGGCCTTAGCCACAGCAACACACTTCTCTTCACCAAACCGGCCCCCAACAACTTGTATTCCAACAGGCATACCCTCGACCAGATTGATATCATCTAAACACGGATCAGCATCGTTTACGAAGGCTCCAATATTGGATGTACTCACATTGCTCCTTATTAAACTTATCACCATCATTCCTCGGAACATGGGCTAGCCACTCTTCATCTGGAACATCCTTCGTCCTTGAAGCAGTAGTCACCGGCACTGCCAACGCAGCATATCCAAGTAAATTCCAGATACTCGTGTAACCCACATATGCACTGGACTTCACCCACGTCCACGGCTTGTATCCTACCCATGAAGTATTGGGCATGATCAAAGCGTCGAGATCGGAGGATATCCATCTATCCAAATATGCCGATTCGAAATTATATTTATCCGCATTAAGCTGCGATATATGTTAGTAGGCCGTAACCAAAGTCCCAAGATAGGAGTTTCCTCACTTGGTGCGTTTGACTGGTAGTCAAGGTATCCTCGGGTTTACCAACGAGCATACCCTCAACAAGCGGCTCGCCTGTCTTTTCTATCTGTCGCCGACAGCCCTCGCCGCCATCAGAGAAGATGGCCTTTGCCCAGAGTTCGTATGCATAACTATGCGAGGAGGCATCCCACTCAAACACTGAGAGGTGTTAGTAGATGCTTCATAGTAGCTTAGCCATTGGAGAGGTTGTTTTCAGTTATCATACCATCATGCCCCGCCGCTTTCAGCGCCTCAATAACTTCACGCATAGCCCTTGCAATCGGTGGCTGAACCTTAACAACACCATCATCAACCAAAAATCCAATTCTTAGTCTCTTCGCTCCAGGAGAAGCTAACTCTCTCCTCCACGCCACAGGAGCAACATGCTGATCAACCTCCCATGGCTTCGCCTCCGGCAAAACCTCCATATACCTTTCAATAGTTGCAATAGTACAGGCCATGGGCCCAGCAACGGATCTCACAATATCTTGTCCGGGGCTATACATCATCGAGATTAGCACTTTCTTCTTCTTCTTCTTCTTCTTCTTCTTCTTCTTCGTAACCACGCAACACGTCAAAAACAACAGAGAATAAACAAAAAAACTCACTTCCCCCGCTCATACGGATGTCTTCCCGGACTAGGCGATAACCCATAAAGTCCACAAATTGCCGCGGGAATACGAATCGAACCACCCAGATCCGTACCAATACCAAGCACGCTTCCACGGGCAGCAATAAGCGAACCCTCGCCGCCGGAACTCCCACCGGAAATCAGCTCGCGGTTGAAGGGGTTAACACATTGACCGAAGACATGGTTGTAAGAATCAGACATCATCATTGATTGGGGCAGATTTGTTTTCACGTAGAGGACGGCGCCGAGACGGCGGAGTGTGCGCGCTACGGATTTGTCTGCTTTTGCTGGGTTGTTGGTGAGGCCGACCCAGCCTGGATTTGGAATTTATTGTTAGTTATATTATATAGTGAAAATGTACATACGTGGGGAATATGTGTTCCTTTTTTTATGATGAGAGGGAGGGTGAGAGTGATTTACCGATTGAAGTGTCTACTCCTTGAACGGAGAATAAATCTTTGATGGATACTGGTAATCCGTGGAGAGGACCGATAGTCTTCCCCGTCTTAGCGAGGTAGTCGTCTAGTTCCTGTGCAACAGCGAAGGCTTCCTCGAAGAAGATCTCTGTGCAGCATGTTGTGAGTTGGTGGGCGAGGGCGGCACGTTTAGCGAAGACTTGAGTCAGCTTTAGAGATGAGAGTTCTCCGGATGAAAGCTTGCGGAGAAGGACGGCGATATCGGTCTCTTCTGTGAGAGCCAGTTCCTCTGGACTGAGAATGCGACGCAGATATCTCAAAGCGTCTGGGGCGGATTCTATGGAGGGAACGGGATCTAAGCGCCATTCGGGGAGGATGAGGGAGAATTGGTCAGCACGCTTTTGAGCGCAACGGTCTTGGTACGAGGTAGCCATCGGGGAATTCCTATATTTATGATCGAACTATAAAAGCTACGAATGTAGGAAATTCGGGTCATAACAGGACCTTTATATAAGATCAAGACCTCCAGGGCTATCTCGGTATTATGTAGATACGAGATAAGATGACTTACCCGATTTGGAAGGCTATCTAATCGACGATAACCCCCACACCAAATATCCTCCACCTCCTCTCGCATTGTGCCTCGGCGTCCGGATAACGAGGGAACTCACACGACTGGCAGTTCCTCCAGTAATTGCGGATTATCTCGCACTGTCGTGTTGTCGAGGCACTCATCCCAGTTAAGTATGCGGGGGTAGCCAGATGCACGTAGAACCTCGAAGTAGAAGGGATGTCCGCGATAGCCTGACAAGCCCGATCTACCATGGAGGAGACTACGGTTGAATGATATGTCGATGTGGAGGGATCGCCGCCCGTAGTCATTCCCGCACGACTGAACGCCATGATTGCAGCGGCCCCTCTATACACGGTCGCAGCAAGATTTCGGTCCGTCGAGTCGCCCGCGTTCAGCTGTAGAATTTGGGCCATTGCCCGAGAACTGAGGTCTAAAGTGCCTATCCCATCGTCGTCGTGGTGTTTCGCAAGATAAACTAATAGATCAAACGTATCCGGTGGACATCCGACAGAGTCGAAGAATCCGGTAGATAAGGTCTCGCGATGCCAGTCTTCGAAAATTAATGGACTTTCTCTGACGAGGGCGCCTGTAACATCGAACCACACTAGATAGGGGAGGACATCGGCTAGACCGGCGATTTCATCACAGAGGTTGTCCAGATCGCTCTTGTGTTGGCAGTGTAGATCTAGTAGTGATCGTGCGCCTTGGAGATGGCAATGCCAGTTGCCAAAAGATCCGCAGCATACTTCAAACATGGCGAAGGTGGCGATGCCAAAAAGCGCGATAGGGTGCGCGGACTGGATAACTTGACTCAGGTTTGTCAAGGCCACTAGATGCGACTGGAGGGATTCTTTATTGTTTGCATCTTGAATGCGCGAGCGGGCAAAGCTTAGCGTACGTGAAATCAGTTGGATTCCTTCTTCTGGGATGTCGCCGCTGCTGGATTGAAGTTGTTGGCAGAAAGTGTCCAGGAGGTCGACGAAGCCGTATAGATTGACAATCGATTCTGACTTGGCGGCAACTTCAATGTGTAATTCTTCACTGGGAATGTTTGAAGTGCCTTTTGGTGATTTCGATTTCTTGTCATCTACCCACACAACTCGGTGCGGGTAGTTGCATGCTTCTCCACTCTGGAGACAGGCTTGACATCGCGGTCGGTTCAAGTCACATTTGACCCCTCGGTCTTTGCAGCGACCACAGTCTCGGTCATGGCGAATGCCACGGGGCTTTTTCACCTTCATGGTGTGTGAAGTGACCTGGTTTGGAAGGCTATCAATTCAGCCTGGAGTATAGTGCGGGGGTTGCGGACACTTCCCGATTGGGCCCAATTGGGGCCCAGGTGGACCTCGGGAGCCCCCGTATCTTCATTGCTTTTTCTTTCTTATCTTCAACGTCGTTTTCATGCCTTCCAACGTCCTTTGATTGCCCAGGGAAAAAAAAAAAAAAAAAAAAGGAGTCAGTAGTTATCTAGAAGTGAACTTGGAAAGATGGAATACTTGAATTCAATTCTGGTTGGATTCTGCGAAGGAAAGCGAGAGACAACAAGCAAGCCAAAGACAATTTTTATTGACCGGAAGCCACTTTTGAATGACAGAAGTAAACGAGAGGCAATGTCACCGGGAGCCAACTGAGAACCAAATAACGAGGGGAAACAAGACGCAAAGTCATCGACTAGCTATTTTGAGAAAAGCAAAATGATCAAATGAACACAACGTCTTGCCGAAAGCAAGAATGCCAAAAAAAAGAATGTGAAGGGGAAGGAGAGGCAGTTCACCAGGCATCAGCTGAGAACCAAAAGAAAAGAAACCGAAAGGAGGAATGGAAGAAATCCAGACCCACCAAAACGACATGGAAAAGAAGGACATCTATCTATTCATAGACCAGAAACCAGTCAAAATATACTTGTGCGAACAAGTCCAACAATAAAGACAGTGATACAGCTTCGTGTCTTGTACAGACCACTTTCGATCATCATTCAGTGCTTGCACATACCCGGGCTCCAATTGGGAATCCGCATCATGTTTCGATAAGGTTGCTTGCCACGATCAGATTGCTTTCTGCGTTGCATCATGCGCTCACGTCGATCGCGTCTCTTGGTAGCCGAATTCGGTTGCTCTGGCTTCAGATTCAGCGCCTCCATTGAGCTCGCTAGTCGCCGTGTTCTGTCGGCCTTCCTTTCTTCCGCGCGTCGACGACGCAGTACAACCTTTCGACGATGCTTTGAGATAACACGGATGGAGGAGATTTGGGAAACCTTAGAATTCCTTGAAACCTTGGAAACCTTGGAGATCTTTGAGCCTGAGACCTGGGACAGACTCTTCACTTCTGCGGCACTGATACTTGCATGCAAACTGCTTCCACGGGAGATCCTTCTTCTTCGCATCCTCTTCATGTGCTCAATGGCAGCAACTGTGAGAGATTGAGTGGAGGCGACGCTGCCACTTTGCATTGATGCAAGACTTTCGTTTTGTAGTGATGCAACGCGCTGGGGCTTGGGAGGCGATCCAACATCATGTGCATGTGTATAAGGGAACTCAGGCCTGCGAACATTCCCCGAGTTGGCCACGGAAAGAGGAGGGCTGCCAACGCCGACTGTACCAAAGACCTGAGGAGGAGTCGAGTTCTCGATGCTCAGACGTCGCTTTAGCCCAGAAGAGTCTGGAACAATATCTGGATACTGCGAGTTCATGTCGACCATACACATCCCAACAAATGGAGTCTGGAGAATTGCACTGAAAGGAGGCTGCTCCAAAAGTTGGGTGGGTGGGTCATGATGGAGCACAGTAGGCAAGGAAGCAGCACCACTTCTATCTGCCTTCGGTGAGACAGCGCAGTCTTTGGCCGGGTTGTCATTATCGGCTGCAACAGAGGCTCCTCGTTCGGAGACACTCTGGTGCAGTGAGTCCACACCGTGCGAGCAGTGGTGACAGAGAATGTCATATTCCCCTTCACGTGGTATGAAGGTCATTGACGCCGGGTACATTCCCAAGTACATGTCAGGGGCCCAGTCGCAAACCTCCAACCAAGAAGGCAATTCGTCAAGTGGGATCAAAGGCGTCCAGAAACCTCCAGGACGCAGGATGCAAAATCGGGGTCGAGGCCGGACAATGAAGTTGGAAGGGAGTTGATGAGAAGCTTGGACAGAGGCCGGAGCTGAGTTAGGATTCAACATTTTGAAGGGACTGGAAGAAGATTAAAATGAGTGTAGTGAAACAATGATTATATAAATGAAAGTGTGTTTGATGAAAGAATGTGTGGGATAAAAAGAGGAAGAAGAGGAAGAAGAGGGGGGATGATCGAGTTTTGTTTATGTGCAGTAGGTCCAAGGAAGGAGCAACAGTACAAGGAAGGAGCGGATATGGACCAAACGTGAACAGACGGAAAGAGCAGAGAATATCTCATAGTAAAGAAATTGGCACCGAGGTTCTCATTTGATATTCAAATTGGTCTTCAAATGGGGTCGACCCTTAGATCCGGCAATTTCAAGCTCGTGTAGCATGATGATTTTGCTTGCACTTCTCCGGTCACTTGATAGACACAGTGTAGGAATAATTCCAGATACATTGGAACTAGTCCTATCATTCCATGCACCTGAGAGTGGTCAAGTGTGGTTGTTTATCAATATATGCCATAGTTCCTTGTGGTACTGGTAGATGAATAGGAGTGACTTTAAGGGCAAGGAACTTATCCGAAGGCCGAGTATACGTTCAATCTTGTCCTGGCTGCTGGACAACACATGTTAAGGTAAAAAAAAAGGAAAGAGAGATCAAGGTTAGTGATGCATCTGTTTACATTCCAAGGACATCTAGATGCACTAGTTTGTAATGGAAATATCGTCAAGCTCCAAACATGCTTTCAATGTTGGTCTTGATACCACTATCAACTACATGTAGGTAGAAGGTCATACATACTAGGGCTATTTTCTCATTTACACTTCAAGCTTCATCCTTATCACCTTATCCTATCTTATCGATACAGCTTATCAGCATATCAAAGTTTATCGGCCCGGACGCAAACAACATCCGAGCTCCTATTACTGTGGAGTAATGGTATTGTACAACTCCTCCTCTGACTCTTACCTGCCCTACCTTCCTTTCCTCCTCACCTCCTCAATCCCAACTCCATAATAATCAAACCCCCGAACCATCATGGCAACCCTCACAGACCCAACCAACGCCACCCGCGCAACCCCCAGTATCCCCATCGACAAAGCAACCCTCCACATCGGCAGCTCAACCTTCATAACCGCCCCCACTCAAGAAGTCTGGACAACCCTAACAAACACCTCAACTTGGCCAAGCTGGAACACCTTCGTACCACGCGTAACCATCCAGTCTCAGCCAACCCCAGACTCATCTCCATCCACCTCCGCACCGGACCCAACACCAGCATCAACATCCACAACAACCGCCCAATCAACAAGTACAAATGCAAACGCAAATACAGCGCTATCCCCAATTCTCCAAAAAGGAACAAAATTTACCTTACACGTCCGCATGGACTCAACCTCCACCAAGCCCCAGCCCGCAACAGATGTCAATGTCTTCGTCAGCGAGTTCAGGGCGCCGAACGCGGAGACCGGCGAGGTCGGCCGTATCGTTTGGTGCGTTGACCCCGAAGCATCGGGTTCGTTTCCGCCATCGCTTTTGAAGGCGGAGCGCGTGCATGAGATTGCGGCTGTTGAGGGTGGGACGGAAGTGCGGAATTGGGAGGCGCAGGTTGGGTGGTTGGTTTATGTGGTGCGGTGGATGTATAAGGCTAAGCTGCAGGCGAAATTTGAGATGTGGGTTGCTGATTTGAAGGGGTTTGTTGAGGGGGGCAGTAATGCTGGTTCTACTTGATTAATTCGAGTTAATGTACGGAGTACTTGTGGGTTTGTTTTGGGTTGCTGGCGTTGGCGTTGTTTGGTTTCTACGCGCTACTCTACTCGAGAATGACTACTCTGCTTCGAACCGAACTCACTACTATGATGAGATATTACTCTTGAATGAAACACTGATATCCGTATGTCCCACCAGGTATTATTTGATTTGATAAAATATTGCACAAATCCCTCCAATATCATACATGTTCCGCCGAACTCCATCTAAACAGGGTATATGGACAATGCAAATGAGCCAAAAAAAAAAGAGAAAGAAATGAAAAGAAATAACCAAAAAGATCCTAACAGATCCTCTCTAGTATCAAGAAGATGCAAGCTCGACCCAATCCGGCGTCGTAATCCGCATCGCCGGATCCTTAACAACAGCCGGCTTAACAATCCGCTCAACGAATCCATTCTTCGGAACCCGGCTCCCGCTCATTCCGGACCTCGCGAAATCAACAATCTGATGCCCCGCCCTGGCCATCTCCAACCGCAACCGATGATTCATATTAGGATAAAGCAGCAAATCACCCGTTGCAGCGGCGAGCAACGTAGCCGCAAGCGAGAAGACATCCGACGCAGGCGTTGGTGCGATCTCAGTGGAGGTTAGGGAAGCCAGCATTTCCGGCGCGGTGAAGGGCGGCGTGAACGACGACATCGACGCGCGGGTCGTATCAACCGGCGCATGCGCATCCGCGGGGATATCAACGGTAGCAGAGAAATCCGCGAAAAGAGGCTCGTACGGGAAAGCGACATCATCGCTGCAGTCATCTGAGTCGATGGGCCGGAGGAGGATGTTGTGTGGTTTGATATCGCCGTGGACGACGCCAGCGACTTGATGCAGCCAGTCCAAGCTGGCGATCAGCTTTTGCGCGAGCTCCTGGTACGAAGCTGGGCCTTGAACTGGGTCGAACATTGTGGCTGTTACGGGTTGACGGGTACGCGCGATGTTTGCTTGGTCTTCGATGTATGTTGCCAGTGAGGTTGGAACAGCGGACATTACTAGTGCGCCTAGCTCGGCGTGGTAGCCGTGGAAGGGGACGATGTATTGTTCGTTGCCTTTGGTGAACGTGAGGCGGGTTAAGGTTGTTGCTTCGGCGTTCAGGACTGGGCGCGCATCTCGGCGCAAAGGTGCTTTCACGGCTAGCACTTGCGGTCTTGAGGTTGGGGAGCTTGGGGGTGTGCCTGGGAAGGTTGTCTGGGGACGTGGTAATGAGTGCGCTTTGTATACTATGCTCCAGACGCCACGGCCGAACTCGAAGGAGCGGTTGTTCTCGTCATGGCAGATTTCGAGGTTGTCGGTGAATTGCAGAGTGCTGACATTATCTTTGGAGATGGATGGCATATGCTCTGCCTTTGAGTCATGGAATGGGCTTG